ACTTAGCCGAGACAATCCCGACATGCCAAACTCCATATATACGGGATAAACACTGTAGGTCTCAGACTAAAACTCGGAGATCTGTAATTCCAGCCCCTGGGTAGTTCTCTCAGTAGGGTCCCTTTCTCGATTCCCAAAAGAAGGCGGCACCCTTATAAAAAGAACCTTAAACGGGTAAACCTCAACCTCTAAAAAGCTAATCCCTGAACCCCAAACCACCAATCCCCGTACCCTAATCCCTAAACCCCAACCCCTAATCACTATAATCCCTACACCCCAAACCCCCAAAACCCTAAACCCCAAACCCCCTGAACCCCAAAACCCAAACCCCCAAACCCTAATCCCTAAACCCCCAAACCCAAAATCCCCTAAACCCTAAACCCCTAAACCCTAAACCCGAAACCCCAAACCCTAATCCCTAAACCCTAAACCCCTAAAGCCTGCGTTCTGAGGCTGCGGCTTCCCAGACTCCTCATACTCCTCCTTCTCTCTTTCGAGATTCTCTTCGATCTCGTCCTAGGGTTTAGGGTTTAGTCCTTTACTAACCAGTGGTTTTGGGGTTCCCTTGGCTCTTTAGCTCCTTATGTAATGGGCATTATCATCATCCCTGGCTCCTTAGCTCCTCCAATATCAATGGTTAGTTTAGGCTTCGGGAATTGCCAGGACACCCCAAGTACTAAGTACCCTTTAAAGGGATCGAAGACTTCTCGTTAAGAGGTAATTGGGGGCTACAGTAAAGAGTAGTCGGGAGTCTAGGTGGGGCTTCAAGTTTGGGTTGAAGGGGTTTTGGATTTAGGGTTAGGTTTCAGGTTTAAAGTTTGAAGGTGTCAGGTTGTTTCAGGATCCTCGATATCAGTAGCGAGCTTTAGAGGTAACAAGTTAAGTTGTCAGGCATGATCTTTGGCGTGCGCCTGGAATGCATCTTGAAACACTGCGTCATGCAGCCGGATCGTGCTAGCAAACTCAAGGGGATCTTGCATTACGATGGGACGTTCTCATCAACCATCTTTACAGCCCTCAGCCACATGTGATCCTAAACTCAGAACCCGTAACTTGTATCCCGAGGATGTGTATCTTAACATCATGTTGCGCCAAACCTTAGGAACACGACCTTACAACATACTACTCTGATGTGCATCATTGGCCGCAATCATAGAAGTACTCCTGCTCATGCCCTGCCCTTCCAATGCAGATCTTATAATGGGAACCTGATTGGACCCTTATCGTAACCCTATACTGATCCTACAGGACCCTAAACCCTATAAACCCTAAACCCTAAAGCCTATAAAACCTAAGCCCTATAAAAACCTAAACCCTAAACCCTATAAACCCTAAACCCTGAACCCTATAAACCCTATAAACCCTATAAACCCTATAAACCCTAAACCCTCAACCTCTCTCTCTCTCTCTCTCTCTCTCTCTCTCTCTCTCTCTCTAAGCGATGCCTCTCGGCGAAACTCCAGCACTACTGGCCCGATGATGCGCGCCCGGTGTCTTCCGTCGTACATGCTGACAGCCCATGCTATCATGAGGTTGCCTAGAGGTAATTAGGGGTGCAGGCTAGAAGGGTTTGGGGGTTTAGGTTTTAGGATGTACTGGAGATCATCATTGCTACTTTGGGTCGGATTTCACTCGCTGCCGTCATGGTCAGGTCGCTGCATTTCCGCTACTTACGTACTGTCAAAGTCGCAGTTTTTGCTGCGCACAACTCTGAAACACGAGATCCCTAAACCCTAAACCCCAAACGCGACAAGAGCCCAGAAACCCTAAACCCTAAACCATGACTCACAAAGCTCCGACTTCCTGACACAGACCAAAGCCTTTGTCGAATTGAATTGATCACGAGCCCGGACATGCAGCCTCAAGCTACAACAACAAACACGTAACGCGCGTGACTTGAATCCCGATCACTCCGAAAATGCAAAGATTCAAACCTCGAGGTGCCCTTATGACCAATCTCTGAAACCTCAAAGCCAAAATCCGAAACCAAAACCCGTTGACCCTCAGCCTTAGACCCACACCCCCTCAATGCCGAAGCCTAAACCCTAAACCCTACTGGCTAACCCCTAAGGTCCTGAGCCCTTATGACCCTATGAACTCAAAAGGCTCTGCAACTTCATAACCTCAAAACCCTTGCCTTAACCCAAGCCCCATTTGACACAAACCATGCTTTTGCGGCGCAAACTAACAACCCCAAGAACCTCAAACCCTACAAACCCTAATGCTAAGAAACTTTCGACTGCAAACCTTGATGAAGACCCTATTCCACATCTCAACAACCGTTTGCCCCCCTGAACCCCGTGACACGCTCAACTCTAGAATCCTACTTCTACACCCTGAAGGCCCCAAGCCCTTGAGCTACTATCAACCCTCACCCTACACCCTACTAAACCCTAACCCTCAGGGTCTAAAGGATCCCATAATTAGGTATTTGGGTTTAGGATAGCAGCTATGTAGGTTACCATTTTGGAGAGTATATGATAATTAGGTACTTGGACCCTTATTAGGGTAAACCTTAAACCCTAAAACGTACGGAACCCTAAACCCTAAACCCTTGAACCTCCCAAGCCCCAGACCATGGGACGCCCATGAGGATACGCTTGCATCATGGTGCAGTCGCCGGCTAACATCGCCAAAGCAGCCGACAGCTCCTTGGGGTACAGGGTTTTGGAGAGCTTTTTGTGTTTAGGTTTTGTAGGGTTTAGTGTTAATGGGGCTTAGCGTGTAGGGTTTAGGGTTGCGCAGGGTTTTTAGGGTTATAAGGCCTCTTCGGATGTAGGGATTGGGGTTTTAGGAGTCAGGTTCAGGGCTTATGGTGTCGGATCTATAAAGCCCTGAGGGTCCAAGTGCCTAATTATCATATACTCCCCAAAATGGTAACCTACATACATAACTACTATCCTAAACCCAAATACCTAATGATTGGATCCTTTGGACCCTGGGGGAAGGGTTCAGGTGTGAAAGTAGCGGAGAGCAAGCTTCACGGTTTCCCCGGCAAGAATCACCAAGGGTTTGTGATGGAGGCACGTTCTTCATCGGCATGCTTGGGTTTGATATGGGCTCCGAATGTCCAAATGCCACGATTCAGCAAGGGTCTAGACTCGTTTCAGGGCTGCAGGGTATCAGGGGTTCGACGGCAAGAGTCAACATTTTGATGTGCTTAAATGCGCTATAACTTGTTACTTGAAGGTGGTTACAGTTGCCGGCCATTCACTGATATTCTTGCTAAAGGATTCGAGTTCGGTGTGCTTTTGAAGGTGTGCAGAAAAGCTCGTTTCCCCGAAGCACTGCAAATCTTCAGGTCCATCAGACTGTTCTAAGTGTTGCCAAAGGGTCCTGAGTCCTAAGTACCTGTCAGTAGAACAGTGAAGTTTTAAGTGTATGAGTTAGTATTCTAGTTTGGGTTAATTTCCCCATACAAGTACTTAGGACCCTTTTGGGTTGTCAGGTGAACCAACGCTGCAAGTTATAGACCGCACGACTGAGGTGAGGTAAGGATTTGGGGTTCTGTCAAACTGCAACCCTGAAACCCCGAACCCAGCCTCTTTTTGTGTCTATTGCCAATACCCACAACATCTGCTTCTCGGCTCAAGGGAAAAACACTACTCTCATCCCAGTATAGGGCCTGAAACACGAACTGGGATTTTCGGCGACGGTGGGCCCTAAACGCCCCCAAGACGCAGCGTTTGGAGTGTCGGAACCTGTACGTTGTTTAGGGCTCCTTAAAATTACGATCCAAATCTTTGTAGAGTTCAGGCCTTACCTCCATAACCTGCTTGTTGTAGCTTCTTATTGCCAAAAACAATCAGAAACTCAAACAACTTATTATCAGTCTTTGGGTGTGCCTTATTTCCTCACATTGCAGTAGAATACCCAGTAGAAGAAAGAAAGTTGGAAAATCATAATCCCGATGCCCTTAAAGCAAAGTATAGGGAATTCCAGCATGAATCATCGTATATCTATGTTCCAACTTTCTGGGGTTCACTATAAACCCTTGCAGTTTCGTCCCAGGAGCTACCAGCGCATGGAGCACCTGTGTGGACCAGGCGACGCAGAAGGCCTCAAGATTCAGCGTGCCCTTGGTCTCCTCAGGATGAATGCCCAAAGGGTCCGGCCAAGGTCTAGGGTTTCGGGTTTAGGGTTTTAGGGTTTAGGGTTTAGGGTTTCAGGGTTTAGGGTTTCAGGGCTAAGGGTTTCGAAGCTCCTTCTGTAAGGGTCCAAGGACCTAATTAAAATGTACTCTCCTAACTATTGAGCTACATAACTACTATCCTAAACCCAAGTGCCTAATTATTGGGTCCTTGGACCCTGAAGGGAGAGGGTCCGAACTAGATAGCAAAAAACTGGGTTTCTGTAGAACAAACTGCTATTTTGGTTCCGATAAGTCTGAGCAGTACCCAAGTACCCTTTGGGATATAGGTTTGCTGTCGATAGTTCCACGAAGTGTTGTATACGGGAATACCGAATCTTGTGCATGTGGTATCCGTAAGAGTTCTATGATAGAGGCCCTAAATAATTTGAAGCAGGCTTTGGAGAGGCTTATAGATTATCGGAAACTGACGTTTAAATGGGAATTAGGGTTGGCTGCTTTCGGGTTTTGGGTTTAGGGTGGTTAGGGTTACGGGGTGGTCGTCAGGAATGTGCGTCCGTCTGCTTCCAGGACTGGGGCTTAGGCCACAACATTCCACTTAGCAAGAGCAAGTTAGCTACCCTAAGCCCTTATAACTCCCGTATATCCATATGGGAGTTTCCGAAAATTAGGGGTACCTTAATTTGGGACCCTTATAATAAGGATCCTACCTGGAAGACCTGGTAGCCTGAAATAATAGGCAACCGACGAAAGTCGCTTCTGATGTGTTGGATTTCTCAGCAGTGACTCTTTTTGTTTGGGGAACTGCACTGGGAATCGATTCAATCGAGAATATTCGTGTCGAAATGTTCGGGAAAAGGACGGTCGGGGCTTAAGGGAATGCAATCACTCGCTCGATGGCTTCATTTTCTCACCCTTCTCCAAGCAGATGCCTCGCCGCATCCACAAGGTACTTGTTAAGTGCCTGCTTGTGGACAGTCCGCCTGTTGACGGTAGTCGTCAGGAAGGCAATTCTTCCTATCCAGTCTTCGTCCATTTGGCAAGCATCAGCGAGTGGACTCCAGGTCCACACTCGATTTGTCTCGTAGGCGTGTGCCAGGGCTTCGGTGATGTGCAGAAATGCATGTAGTTTCGGAGTAAGCTTAAAACGTGTTTTGCCCTGCCGATGGGCAGAGTGAGCTATCTCCAGAAAGCTCTTCATGAAAGCCAATCCTGCTTGGGCCGCTCTGTGGCACCGATCTCGCGACAGCCATAGCCCCGAAGAGTACAATGTTTCGAGGAACTGGTTCGCCGAACGAACTGCCGCCAAAATATTTTGCAAGTACGGGTCCGGGGCTGCAAGCTGAGCCACATGACTTTCGAAGTAGCTTTGCAAAAACGAGCAGACCGCTCTGGTGTCGGCCCCTTTGAACCAGGACCTGTGCCATGATTTCGGGACTCGCAAAAACCTTCCAAAAAGTATATCGATTCAACTAGCCCACAAAAAAAACTCTTTAAGCGGAAAAAGACCCCTGCAAAGGAACCCCGAGTCCAATCCAAGCAGCCCCACGGGAAACTGATAGTCACCCTTGAAAGCCAGGAGGTTCCTCGTCAAACCATCCATATGAAGAGGTATGTTCTTTGTCTTGCAGTGGGAGGCCAAAAGCTCATATATCGCATCAAGCTGAACTTGAAAGTTGCCATCTCCCACGAGTCCATAATCTGTAAGGACAACCTGAAATGACTTAAATTTACTCGTATATATATTGAAACCACATATACATACGTCTAGATGAACTTACTTTTACAGGTTATGGGTTTTAGTCTTTACTGCCGGTAGCTTTGGTATGCAAAAAGTTGAGGTTAGGATTCGCACTATATGCTTCCAGCAACAAGTCCACTGCCAGTCAGCTCAGCGAACACACCCTTGTGACAAGTGTGGAAGACGTCGAACCTGTGCATCAGCTCCTTCCTTGTAGATTGTGGAATTCTGCACAGAGGACCTTCTGTAGCCCAGGGAGCACGGGTCAGGTATGAAGATCTCCAAGCGGCATTCCGGGAGTAGTCATACGGGGGATAGTTGGTTTCCCCGGCTCGACAAAGATGGCAGAAACCACTTTTGTTCGAAGTCTTGTAAACTCCCTTCTTGGAGAAGTGACGTGTTAAGTGGCCAATTCGAGCTTGCACCGGCCAGTCGCCTTTGAGCCCAAGTGTAGCCACGTACATGATCATCTTCTCCTTGCCACATTGAACCGAGATACCATTGTAGAAGAGGTCTCTCAGTTCATCGGCCAACGATTCCAGAATCGAATCCAACACGAACTTGTTCTTCTTACTGTAAGAACGTTTCGTGCACACCGTATACAGAAACCGAGTGGAATATGTATTACCGGTGTAATTCAAACCCATGGCATCGTCAACGTCGTCAGAAGTGCTGATTCCAAACCCCATAGGAGACTGAAAGTTGATGATCATCACACCACTCTTCTTGAGCGTCTCGCCCTCATCTGCATGGATCTGCACTGGCAACACCTTGTCGAGACGATCGTTGTGCTGCTCGAATATGGCATGTCCAGCATCTTGATGGCGATAACGACTCCAGAATTCTTTGAGGTTTGCTGATCGGGTTTTCAGTCTCGTGCTACCCCAGAAAAGCTGTAGCTTCTTCTTATCAGCCAAAACTTGTAGCATGTCTGATATCTTCAGCACAGGATGCTGCTTTTCCTTGCCCAAATCAATATATGTCAATGGTACAGGAAGAGCCAAGCCTCGCTTCTGAAAGACTTTACCAGATTCGTTCTCATGGCCTGTCTTAGATTGCCGTCGTAGGTCAGAAAGTAAACCAGAGCTTGCAAGCTCGTTTGCAATATCAGGGTCGGCATCACGGCACTCGTCCATAAAGCCCGCAGCGATATTGCAGAGCAGCTTGTCGTTTACCTACAGGGTGGGAGTAGGGCTTATTCGTGTAGTATTCTCTTACAAACCTTATTGTAGATCCAACAATATACACAAACAAACTTAGAGTAATTCCAAGGCATCAGGATACAGTTTGTTGAACCCTTCTTGTTTGTGTAGGCTTTAACTCAAGATTGTTTCAAGGTTTCGAGATATTGGGGTTTATTTGAGGATACTGACTTGGCCCCGAGCTATTCTCTGAATACATGGATGTGTACAAGGACCCCGAGACTCGACGATTACATAGATTGATTTGTTTGGACCCCGGCACCCCTGATCCCCGAGCTTTCTGCAAGGCAGTGGAAGCAGCTCCAGGTTTGTCATCCTTCGGCGGCTTCTTGGCACCTGCAGTGCATCCAAGATAAGATTACAATCAAGGTTTCGTATAGATCAGACATAGCAGCGATACGACAAAGTGAGCAGGCTCTTGATTTTTTCGTCTCGTTTCATGTTGAGGCCCCAGGCTTCAGAGCTAATCGGATCCATTACGGATCCTCGCATACGTAGATGCATGCAAGCCTTGCAACCACATCGACGAACTGTTCGTGCTGTGGACAGAAGAACTTGCCCCCGGGACCCAGTAAAGTAGATATAGGCCGTGAACATTGAAAACCCTGACCCACTGCGACATTGCACTCTGCACGGGCAAGCTACTTCTTCGCCGGCTTCTTAGCAGCAGGCTTCCCCTTGGGGGCTGCCTTAGCTTTAGCCTTAACCTTCGGTCCTTTCACCGGCTCATCATCACTTTCATCGTCCTCGTCATCATCATCAGCCTTGGCCCTGACGTTTTTCTTGGACTTGCTGCGGAGAATCGTCCTGAGTGTTACAAAGTAAATAATTACATGGAGTCCCAGCAATAGCAAACTATGTTAGACATGTTTAAATAGCACGGAAGATATTGCACCCAAGATACCGTTTCAGCTTCTTCTCCTCCATCGTAAACCGACTCGTCCTGAGAAGCAAGGTTCACACAACATTGGGGCGACCGATATCTGCGTGCAAAAAGGCGGGGTGGACGATTGAGCCGGGGAACAACTTGTTCAGCTCCAACAAGTTCGCTGAGATTTTGTCAAGGGTCCTTAGATCGCATCACATTCATCAATCGAATAGGAATAGGGGTTATCATTCACACTACCACGGGAGGCTATATAATAAATTGCACTAGGTTTCGCTTTGTCTGGCACAGAACCCGGGCCGTGCTCAGATTTAACCTCAGCAAGCTCATCATGGATCGCCATCAGCTTTTCGGATTGCCCCACAATGGTCTCCTGGGCCCTTAGTTCCATTTGAGTCTTCAATCTGAAGACACAGATGGGAATCAAGGAATCAACCAAGTAGCTTGTGGGTATCAGCATCCTTTTTGGCACGAAGGCTTTCCAGTGTAGTATCCATCTTGATACGGAGCTTCAGAATATCCGAAAGCATGGGTGGGATCCTCTCGAGTTCCTGCACGATTATTGGTAACACGGGGTGAAATCCTATGTAGATACACATGTAGAAGCAAGACAATACTCATAACCCCAGCCTCCCGAGCTGCTTCAATCGCCTCTTCTCGGTTCTCCTTAGCCTTCCTTTCCTGCCTTTGTAGCACCGCCCTCTTGGAGGATCGAGACTTGGGGCTTGGGGTGGTTTTGCTCTTCTTCTTGTTCTTCTTTTTTTTGCTCTTCGTGGCGCTTGGGGCAGACTCCTCCTCGCCTGCAGAGCTAGAAGCATCATGTTCATCATCATCATCATCTTCCCGTTCGTAGCCAGGCTTCGGGGAATTCTCGAGAAGCGGGACAGGCATGCTGCAATCGGGATCCAAGATCTCGATGTACTGATTGAACTGTTCCTTGTGGCTCGTGCTGAGGCTGCCGACCGTAGAAGTATCAACCCAATACTCCTTGATATCGGGCTGGTATTTGTCTCTCCTGCATCGGGGGAGAAGTTCAAGTGGAATTCTGTTTATCTCACGACAGGCCTCGTCAGCAGCTTCTTTCGCTGACGGTTCTTCGTGCAGTACTTGACGACGGCGGCGATTCTCTCCCTTGGCAGACCGTGGCAGCATTCAGATAGTGGGTCGAGCGACTTACCTAAGCAGGGAGTGTTGTAACTACCAAAGATGGGCGAGTGGCTTAGAGAAGTTTAGTTCGCTCTTCATTGCAGCTTCGCTGTAGAAACCGCTGTTGATCACAACTTTCCCTTCCTTCGTGCTGGAGATGAGGATCTCCATCCGGTGATTGAAAGCATCCTTAAATAACATGCATGCGATGCCATAGAAACATGCGTGGAGTTCTGACGACAGACGACGACAGACGACGACAAACATGGTTCAATTTAGATTGCACCAGGAATCTTTGTCGCCACTGCATGTGATAAGAGCCACTAGCAGCTGCTTCCTAGCTTTCGTACACTTCCACTTGTCGGCCACATCATTCGAAACCTGCAAGGTTCCTCGCTTGGCGGACGGCCGGCACATTCTCCGAAGCGTGGCTTGGTAGTTTCGGAGCTCCCTCTTCGTGATCTGGATTTTGCTTCGGCCCTGCATAGTTAGGGGATGATTTACGGTTCAAGACAGTACCGGGATAGTATTTTTCTATAATCTAGAAGGCACAAAATGCTTGAAATAAAATAAGTCTATATTCCGAAATAACACCCCACAAAGCCTTCCCCTAAGGAGCACGTGTATCCGACACATACAAGGATTGGGTGAGAGTACATCGTATCTCTAAATACATACAGTATATATATCGGTATAGATACATGAAGATATACTGCCCTAAACTTCACTCTCATATGTGTGGGTGTGTATACATGGATGGGTATCTACACATATATAGATTCATATACATACATAACCCTTATTAAAGGCCTTGCCACCCTTCGTCGAAGGCATCTTGCTGGTAGAAGAAACACTCGAAGCGTCTTCGGATTCATTGCTTGGGCTTCGGGACTTTCGCTTTCTGTTCGGCTCGGGGGTAACCTCGGACCTGGACACGTGGCTGCTGGGTTTCTTCGGAGTGCGGTGCTTCCTGGACTTTTCCATGGACTTGGGGGTGCGGTGCTTCCTGGACTTTTCGACGGACTCGGGGGTGTGGTGCTTCCTTGACTTTTGGACGGTTCTTGGGCTTGCAGTTCTGCCCCTCGACTTCTTTGCAGACTTGGTTGGCGGAGAAAGGCATGGGGAACGGATTCTGGGATGCTTGCTTGGGCTTGGGGAATGGAACAGCTTCTTCTTCGGAAGCGGGGATCGCTTGGGGCTCGGCACCACCTGAGTAGCTGCGGTTTCCTCAACAAGAGCAGGTTTGGCTCTGTATCCCCCAGCAGCATCGGCTTCGGCTGGAGGTTTCCACTCGTGCATTGGCTCATAATGCACTGTGTCAGGCACCGTAGCAGGGATTCGCTCCCAGTATGGATCATTTATGCCATCCATATCCTCATCTGCCACCTCAGAGTATTTCACGACATACATAGCTAAGCCTAGAGTGGGATATACGTGTTGATGCAGAAAACACACCCTCGATCTCTACATTTGCCGTATCCAAGGCAACCGGGCTGCTGTTGGGGTCAACGGCTGGGCCTTCACCTCGAAGCTGGCTTTGTGGAGGAGTTCCCGGAGCTCCGTGTCGTCCTTGGCCGAAGTTAGAATTGGTTCAGGGTTCTAAGATTGGTAAAGGGACCTAGCAAAACCAAATACAATTAGGGGAGGACTTGGTGCTCAGGATTGTCTGCTTGACATATAGGATACATTCTGTACTTTAGAAACTTTACAACATCGAGGCTCCTGGTCTTGGATCCTTTATAGATACCACATACGTATTGGGTTTGGGTATAATGTGGGTAGCTACAAGTATACATGGTTAGGTACCTGCAGCCTGCCTCGCCTCATTATTATCGGTCGCTCCTAAATAACCAGGTAACCCAAGTGCGTGTCGAAACCCCTGTAGAAATACGGGCGTGCAGGTTTTGGGTGTTTGAGGCTACTGTTGTTAGATTTGGGCAAATGTTGTTACTTCTCAACAAAGACGGATTGGGATGAAGATTTTCTGTCGTTCGGGGTTTTGGGCTCTTGCAGAGGGTTTCTACTGGACGGGGGCTCAAACCGAGCAAAACAAATCAGAAGCAAAGGAAGCAAGACCCACATCCCTCCATCTCAAGAAGCCCCGAGGCCTTAAACACACCTTCAACCCACTCCGAACAGAAGAAAAAACCCAAAGCCCCGAAGCCCGGCCTTAAACCCCTTAAAACCCACTCCGAAGAGAACCAAAACCTGAAAGCCCCTTCCGAAAAAGCATTCCACTCTTTCCGGGCCGACCGACGGCGGGCTTCGATCATCCAAGGCAGCTGGGTGCTCAATCGGTCTGAGTGGGGTCTGAGTTTTGGTGGTTTAGGGTTAATCGTAGGCTATAACTTAAGCTATAACTATTATTTGAAGACCTTAAGGCACCCTACGACTGCCCACGGAGCAGGCCACGTGTGGCCAACAGGTAGCGACCAATCGTTCGTTCGCTCTGCAGAAGAGGGCTGACCCGCCTGGATAATCTTGAAATCCTCCCCACGAAGTCCTCGTCGGCGAAATTCGAATCCGCCAGTGGATTAAAGAAAGAAGCCAAGTTTGCCTGAACACCCTGGTGAAGCCGAAGGCATATATGATGAAAGAAGTGAAGTTTCGGCGTCAGATTGTAGCGGCAAACTCGTCGCTCTGCACAGATGCGGGCACATTTAGCATAGGCCTGCAAGAAGTATAAGCCAGCTTCAGAAGCGGCGGCCGCTTCGTCTCTCGTGAGCCAGAGCCCACCCTTGAGCACAGTTCTCATGAAAACACCCAGAGCCTGTGCTGCTCCAGACATGAGCCTGAGAAGCCGATCTTCCTGTAGCAGTGTCTGCTGTTGATCCAAAAGCCATTTGACAAACTCCACCATCACTGGCGTATCCATCGCTTTGCTCCAGTGTGCTGTAGGAAAGGAGTGCTCGTTCTTGTAGCCCAACATGTCCCTGCTCAGCCTTTTGAAGTGGATCTGCCGACGGCTCTGCTGAATGTATCGTGCCAAATCTGCCGTCTGGCTTTCCAAAGCCACGGGTATGGAATCTGCATTGTACAAGTCCAAAAGGAGTACCAAAGAGCTTCCACAGAAGTCCCGTCCAAAGCCAAGATGCACCAAATGCATTATGTCGAGGCGAAAGAAAGAGGGAGCATCGTGCCGGATGTGTGGCATGTATTCCAAATACGGAGGGATCCTCAGCCACGGGTATGGGTTGTTCCGGCCACTCGTCGGCAACCATGATGGCGAGGTTGCAAAGTCTTCGAATTGAAGCCCCTCCGTGCCAGCTAGGCACAAATGGCAACAGCCACAAAGCTTCTTGCTTTTAGCCGTTGGAGCAGCTTTACGAACATTGAGAAATGTTCGATAAAGAAAAGCTGCCTTCTGTAAAAAGGGGAGGTCCCCTTTCACCCCCAGCAGCAGGAACCGGAGCCGCTTGCCACCAGGAAGGTCCAGCCCTTCGTTGTACAGCTTGCACAGATTCTGCATCATGCCTTCCAAAAAGGTCATAAAGCAATCTTCATCATCCTTGTACAATGCCTTCTGCATAACACCATACAAAAAGCGTGTCGTGAAACTGTGCTTCTGCAAGTTCACACCAGCCACACCTGGTCGATGCACAGGGTGTGAAGTACGAGTGCCCCAGCCAAGAACAGGTTGAAACTGCACCACCATCAGCTCTTCTTTGCGATACGTTCGACCACCATCCCCATGGACCAGTAAAGGAACGGTGGTCTCGGGATCGAAATGATCGTGGTCCCAGATTTCGTGCTCCGGTTCCCAAATCTTGTATTGTGCCCAAAAGTCGCGAAGCCTCGGACCACCTGGGCTATTCATGACGGCCAAAAAACTTTCCCCCTGCTGTACTCTACTTCTATATCCCCTAAACAAACCATAAACCCTAAACCCTACACCCTAAACGGCCCTACACCCTAAACCATTAACCCTAAACCCTACACCCTAAACCCTAAACATACAGTTGAGCTGGTTGGCAGGGTTCAGGATTTAGGACATAAAGTTTTTTGAAGAACAAAGCTGGGTTTTGCATTCAAGCTAAGGGTCAAAGATTAGCATTGGAGGATCGGCTACTTTGGTAAAACGGATTTCAAGTTGTGCTATATAGTTGAAGCACACCCTACGGGATTGGGTTTCAGACCAATCAAATAAGGCCCCGAAGCCCCTGAAGACACAGGTGCCAGGAGGATGTTTGGAAGGGTCGGGTTAATTGCCGACAAAGGTTCTGTTGTGAAGAGGCCCCCCAAGGAGCTTGTGCAGATATCCCTTCTCCGAAAGAACACGAAGGTAATCTTCGGGCAGCAATACCGGAACTGTGCAGCCTTCTGCACATGTGATATTGGTTCGAGGAACATTCAGTGTTAAGTCGTACTTCTTCAGAATTCGCTGGAGGGCTTGCTCGGCATCCTTATCCGGACAAACAGCCATCTCTCGCAGAGCCTTGGAATCGTCCTCCCGGGCGAAGGTCTTCGCAATGGAGACGACGTGCTTTGCAGTGGCCTCGGCGAGCATAGAATGGGTTCAAGTTTCGGATTTGGTTTGGGTGGTTCTAGTGGCTTCGACATCCAGCACTTTTTTTCAGCAGCATCTTCCTGAAGGCTCCCCGACTTCATGGATTTCACTTTGGAATCTTTACATGACCCAGCGTGGACGATCAGCCCGAGCTGAAACACAGTAGCAGAAATAAGGGGGATCAAACCTTGCTTGGAACATGCTGTCCCTCATCCCCTCCCCTCCTCGAAGCACGTTGCGGCACTGCTTCAGATGGCAGTACTTCGAAATCAAAGAAGCTTCAAGCATTTCCACGGCTCCGAGCTCATCACTCTGGTACATGACAAGCATGCAATCCCAACCTTTCTCTTTGTACAACTGGAACCGCTTAGAGCACTCGTGCGTGATGCCAATCTTGAAGATGACCAGCTCAAGCCCCCCACTTTGCACTCGTAGCTTCTGTATCATGGTTTCGCAATGCTGAAGCACTTTTCCAGCAAGCAAGCAAGTTGTTGGCAGCTTGTAACAGATCGAACAACTTCCGAAATTCAGTCGTTCCCGGCTTTCGCTGTTTACTGGATCCATCACAAGGCCCGGTGGGCTGCGGCTTCGATCCTCGTGGTCATCGTCATGGTCACTGCCCCAGGGAAACAACTCTGGGTTGTCTCGCATGAACTTGAGATAACTATTTTCAGCATGGTTCGCCATTGCATCGAGCTCGGGATTGGATGCGTTTCAGCGAGCTACATAGTGGTCTAAGTTATTGGCTGGCTTTGGGGATGGGTTTTCAGGCATAGGCTTAGACAGGGTATTGGGTCAGGGTTTTGGAAAGCTTTGGGTTTGGAGCTTTGTGTTCAAGGTTTGAGACTTTGGGCTTGGGGTTTGGAGCTTTGTGCTTCTAGTTTGGGCCTGTGGAAGGGTTCCTTGCATGAGGTGATTCGGGAAAAACCCAGTGGAGCCTGGAACCCACCTTAACCTAGTTTCGGCAAGCCTGGGTTTGGGGCTTTAGTTTCGGGTGCTTTGGCTTAGCAGTGTCCACAAAGCTTTGGGTTTAGTGTTTCAGGGAGGATAGTGGTAAGTTTCGAGTTGGCAACCAGGCTTTGGGAAGCTTCGCTTAAAGTCCTCCTAGTTGTGTTCCAGAAACTAGCATATGTAGCGATTAGGGCCTGGTTAGGGCATTTGGGGTTTTAGGAAGTAGTCTATATATTCTTCTCTATACAGGATTACACCCAGGACCCATTGAGTTTGGAAGAATGCAACTGCAACTTCCCAGCACGAACCTTGGAGGCTCAGAATAAAACCCGAAGTATTAACAAACCCATACCCCAAGCTACAAGAAGGAGTAAAACCCGAAGCCGCAATCCGGGGGCCCAGCTCCAGTGCCCAAAGTCGTAGCCAGCATTCGAGCACGATCGTTGGGGCTCTCGTCATCGCTGTCGGAATCTGGCAGAAGTTTAGGCAGTTTGGGATTGTTGGGTTTCGCAAGGCTTCGGCATGCACGAGCATTTTTCCTAGTAGCACTGGAACGGCACAGAGTTGTAACTTCGAGTAGCTCCGGGCCAGGCCAATCCTATTCATGGCATTAATACCGAAATGTAGGCAGTTGGTTGTTGCCGGCCCATCACCACAAACAACTCGTGGTGGCTGAGCACGTTTGTCGCACTCATCTACAAAGCATCCAAGAGCCTAGGGCAGTCTTTAGAATTAGGGGTTGGGTTTAGCCAAGACTAGGGGAGCCCATACAGTGTAGGTTGAGGTCAGTGAACCCTATTGAGTTTCAGAGCCCCTCTCGGACGGCTACGGAAAATCTCTACTGTGCGCCTTTCTTCCTCCTACGTTTCGGGGCATCGGCTTCAGTCTGCTTTTCCGTGTCCTTCTTGTTCTTCTCAGCATCAGCAGGCTCAGGGGCCCGCTTGTTGGTCTGCTTCTTCTTCAGCTTCCTCAGCTGGGCTGGAACGAATATACATATATCGACAGCAAAGGACCCGAGCAAAGCCAAGAAACTTGTTCTTGACCTCGCAGGAGATGGCCAGCGTCATCCTGGGTTCCAGGCCAGCCAAAGTTTTTGAGCAAAGCAGGGCTTTCTGAAGCATCACACATCGGAAGAAAGTGCAAACCCACTTGCATTTGAGACTCTGCTTCCTCACAGCCTCGAAGTTTTTCTCGAGCTTGTCCTTTTGCCTGAGCAGCACACTGAAGGAAGTTATGTTAATTTCTGAATAGCTTGGGTCCTGATACTTTAGCAGCCTCGGGTCTTCAGGTTCAGGGTACTTGCCTTCAGGGTTTGGCTTCGGGCCTTAGGGTTCCGGGTGGCTTGATGCTCTGGGTCTGGGTTGGGGCTAAAGGTTCAGGGTAGCTGTCAATTGCGAGTTTTGGGTTCGGGGCTTGTGTTGTTCAGGATCCACCTAGCACGACTGTTATTTCCGGCACGACCAATCAGTAAGCCAAAGTGCGAATCGGAGAGTTGCGGGGCAATCTTTGCATCGGCTTGCTGGGAGGCGAGCTCATCATAGAGGGCACCCAGAGAGTTCACAATGTCTTTCATCCGGGGGAACTCCCTTGGATGGTGATTAGATTGCTTGGTCTGAGAAGGAGACACGAAACTCTAGCTATCTTTCACTGCAGCATCATGCAAGTCCAATCGTTCCATGAACTTGGAGAGTTTGTCGCGGGCTGCAACAGACTCCTTCATGTACTGCTCGATGCTGTCGGCTGCCTGAGTTGATGGTGCTAACTAGCTGATGCACGAAGAAACTCCGACAGTAAGCCTTATGCAACAAGTGGCGTTTTTATTGGGGGCTTCAGGAGGGGCAGCTCCGGCACCCCGTTGGCCCCATGCCAAGTGGAGGTTCCCCTCCATGCCGGCGATGCCGAAGGAGTCCGTGGCTCCGGTGGCACTCGTGGATTCCTTGAGGCCCTCCTTTTCGTAGTTGCCCCGCCTGCCATCCGTCCTGTGATCCACCCAGAATTCCTCAAGCTCGTCATCGTACTTGTTCTTCCTGCACAGAAGGAGAGAAAGTAGGTTTGCAATGAGTCTAGAATTATATAGGGTTTAGAGGCTTGGGGTTCGAGGGTCTTCGGGTTACAAAGGAGATCCCAGCCTGATGTTCACATCCGGGGTGTTGCTTCGGCACCATGCGATGACTTTGTCAGCATACTTCCTCGGTTAGTCATAAGAAACGACCCTACATGCATGTATAGCGGGGCTGCTGCTAAGATTCGGTGAGAACCCAAGGCCTCCATCGACCACCTTCTTGATCATATCATCCCGGGAGTAGAAGCCCCCGTTGGTCCCCTGCTCCCTGAAGTTGAAGCTGTCCTTGTACTGCTCCACTTTCCGAAGGAAGTCGTCCTGCATCACATATGATCATGTCTGATTTGTTCAAACCTATAGAGATCTAGACTAGGATCTCAGGACTTAAACCAGCATTGCAGTGTCCTTCTGCCCGTCGCAGTCCGCCATGAGCTGCACTAGCCCATCCCGAGCCGTGCCAGCTTGGGCCCAGATCTTGTGGATTTCCTCCGAAACCTGGAGTTTTCCCGTGGCTGTCCTAGAACACATCCGGTTCACCTTGCTCCTCATCTTGTTCATGTAGAGCTTCTCCTCCTCCTCGCTCGCAAACTTCCCTTCAGCGGGCTTGGCGGGAGGTTCCGGATCACGAGCAGTCTGCTGCTTCGTGGAGGAGGCCGGGCTTGCAGACGGCGTCGGAGTGGATCCCAAGTCCTAGCCCAGGGCTATTGGTTGCACTGAATCAGACACAACGACATAAACAGAACCAAGAACCCCTCCTTGGAAAGGTTCGTGTCCCTCTCTGCGGAGGAAGGAGGCGATCGATGCAGCTGTCGGGCAGGGGTAGCATAGTCACTAGCAGGGCGGGGTTGGCTGGCCGTAGAATCCGTAGAAGTACCGGCCCGAAGCTTGGCAATCATCTGCTGCTGGGCCTGCACCAGCTGCAACAGCATCGCTCTAGCACCATCAGCCTGAGATTCGGAATCGGGGGTTTTGGAAGGGTAGTAGGGTTTAGGGGTTTAAGGGTTTAGGGGTGCAGGGATTACGGGTTTAGACTTAGTTGTAGAGGGTTCCACAATCCCCCGGCCGTGCGGCAAAGTTGTGTCACGGGGTGCACTTCAGGGGTTTTATTTTAGTTTAGCATGCATCTGGGGATTGGGTTTTGCCGCAGCCAACTAACTTAGGGGTTTTGTTTGGGCTGGATACATCCTGTGGCTCCGGAGCAGCTTGCTGAACAGGCTCCTTAGGAGGCGAAGCCTGGTTCTGGAGCCACTCCTCCGGGACATGGTTTCGTACATGAAGACAGCACATTCTATACTACACACACACAGAGTGGGATTAGGATACTTCACATGCAAACATTCCAAAACCACGAATCCCGACCCTGCCTTCAGGGCAGCATCGCCTTCATCCTCGGACATAACCATGTATACATCCGTGTCGGCTTGCAAACCATGGTCAGCTTCAGCTGGCTCCTAAGTACATGATATTCACAACCCTGAAGACCAACCCTCGAGTAGAGAGACAGCCAGGTTTCGGAGGAAGCGGTCGATGGGCCCACGGTCTGGCGCCCAGCCACCAAGAGCTGGGAGTCGGTTGCAGCCAGGGTCGGTGCAGGTGAACCAGGGTAGCCAGGCAGCACGTCGTCGGCCGTCAGCTCCAGCTGCAAGTCCTGCCGAAAGTTTTGTTCGATAGCTTCAGTCTATGTAGATCATGCAGGATATGTGTCGATGGCAGGATCTCAGATGTGTAGAACCCCGATATCCTGGATCATTTCCTCTAAGGCTTGGGGATCGTCCGGCAGCTCATTCTTCACACGAAAGAGGCCAGCAGCCATGCTTGCCGATCTTTTCATGAGCGGCCACCCCAAAACCTAAGCCTGCCTAAACCCTTCCTTCCGGCCCCAATGCTGCAAAGATCAGCCCCGAGGCTGTTTCGTGGTAATTCCAAGGAAGTGATAATTTCATGTTCGGGGGTCGTTCTGTGATACGGATAAATACGGTTTTATACGCCTTTATACGGGTGCCATACGGAATAAATACGGTCGCCGGTTTGGCTAGGTATTATGGTGTTTTCAGGATACACGGTCGCCAGGCTCAGGAATACGGGTGTGCTGTCTAGAAATACGGGCGTTGAGTTCTGAAATACGGTCGCCAATGTTCCTAAATACGGGCGTGTGTCCCATATATACGGGCGTGGGTCCTGGAAATACGGGCGTTGGGTTGCCGACTCTGCTAAAACCCCTTCAAAAGCTGCAAAAAGCTAACAAAGACCTATGCAAACCCTACACAAAACACACGAACACCTCTTAAAACCCTTTGGGCTTCAGTCTCGGTCTCTGTTTCTGTTCCCGTGACACACTGGCTGGGCCCTTTCTCGCTATCCCTTCTCTCTCACTCTGTCTTTCCCTCTCTCTCCGGAGTCTGTGGCTGCTTTTGGCTGCCGGTTTTGGGCTGGTGGCTGCTGGCTGCTGCTGCTTGGCTGCTGGCTGGCGGTTGCTGCCTGCTGATGGCTGGTGGCTGCTGGTGACCGTGGTTGCCGGAACCCTGGTGGCTGGTGCTTGGAAGGCTGCTGCTGGCTGTTGCTTTTGCCTGCTGTTTGCTGCTACTGCTGCTTTTCACAAGGGTGGTTGCTGCTGACTGCTGCTTTTGACACATTAGACACCCCCTGCAAGAAAGGCATAAGCGAAGCTTGCTTTTTCCCCCAAGCTCCTAGGTGACTTCTCCTTGAAAGCCCATCATATAAAGAGATTGCCATCTCATAAATAAAAGCACATACTCCTATCGGCCACGGCGAAAGCTATGACGAACACCACGACGTCTCTCGTTGCAGCTGGAGCAACTGTGATGCGTGTGCTCTTGTGTTCCTCGTGAGCAGTAGTATTCGCGACAATTCCCACAACGATGTGGGCAAGCTTCGTGCACCCTGGGTGGACTCGGTGGCGTTTGGTCCCAATCCTCAATAATGACAGGGCCCGTAGGGTTGCCAGCAGAATTGTCGGGAGCATGCGTAGCCGCCCTGGCAGCTTGCTGCCCTTGCTCCTCCTCATTCAGTAGCACCAAGGCCCGTAGCATCATTTGCCGTAGCTCCGGCGACAAGAGACGTAATATCAATAGCAGCTCCTCGAACTGCATCGTGTTGTGTACAATAGAGAATACTGGGGGGTCCTTCTATAGAGCCTGGCAGAGCCCAAAACTGCAAGGTCCAGGTCACTGTGCAAGAACGGTTTGTGTGAGAGTACTGTAACTCCTAGAAAGTGCACTCTAGAATTCAGAATAGCAGCAGGACAGCAGGAGAGTATAGGTGTTGGAATAGCTATGTAGGACTTGACATAGCTATTCATGAACTCAGAAGAGCTGAACAGCCTCGCAGCCAAGCCCTAGGTGCGGTCTACCAGAAACCCAAGAAGACCCCCAAAAAGCTGGAAAGAGTATGCATCAGTACAACACCACCTCTCAAATCTCAGAAGCCCCGAGAATATCCAACCTGTATAATTGTAACCCCGGACACATAAGCCGCAATGATCGAAACGTCACCCTGAAATCCCGAAAGCCTTGTCCCCCCCCAGCTGTGCCGGCACCGATGCCACTGTGGTTCTAAAACCTAAGCCCCTAAATCATAAACCCAAACCCTAAACCCTAAAGGCACTAAACCCTTGCTGATACTGTATGTGCCTTAGAGTGAGGCCCTACTGACGTGTGGGGGTTCGCGGTTTGGAGGAGTCTTGCGGTTGTAGAGTACCAGGATACCTGCTTTGTCTTTGTGACTTCGAATTAGATACGTATTCGTTGAGGATGTTTGGCTTCTGAGAAGCCTAGAACTCTGCATATATATATATATATGTTTGGGTTCATGAGTTATTAGCATTCGCCCCTTTTGCTTTAAGGACCCCTTCGTAAAATCAAGCAAGGCTACCCTTATTGCAAGGGGGCTAAGGAACAACCTAGACAATAACTTAATTGAAGACAGGAAGGAGTTAACATATGGTCCCCCTAAAGATCTGGGCCAACAGGGAAGGATTCATACAAGGCCTCCTGAATTTCTTATGTTATATCATAAACCTTCTTCCCCCAATAGATCAATATGTCGATAGAGACATAGAAGAAGGTCTGTCAATATAGTCAGCCACAGATGACCCCATGTGATCCAAAACGTCCCTAGTCCCCGCAAAAAGAAACCCTTCTTAGCTTTTCCCTGTGCAGCAGCACACCCAATCCAGGGCTGTCCGGACCAAAAACCAGTAGTGGTTGCCGCCCAAGAGCATAGCAAAGTAGGTTTCGGAGTCGCTGGATCCTAGTTCCCCATCCACATAGAAACATCCTTGGCTACAGCGGAACCCTCTGAATCAGTCAGACACACTCAGCACAGAACACAGCTTTATATTCGAGGGTCCCAGAACCATTCATCCCCGGGCCAACAAGGCGCTCGAAAGCCACTGCCTCGAATCTTGTGGAGTCGTGGGTAAGCCCAGCATTCCCAGCGAAGTGCTCCATGAAATCCAGCTCCTGGCGAAGGGTTTTAAGCTTAGGGTTGACAGCTTAGGGAAAAGATTACCAGGAGGTTTGGGCATAAGGTTTAGGGTCAAGGGCAAGCAGAAGACTTTAGGGATCAGGGTTTGGGGTGTTCAGAGAGAAGAGATCGGGCTCAGGGTTTGGTGTGTTCGGAGAGAAGAGATCGGGCTCAGGGGTTTGTGCTGGCTACGTCCACGGAGAAGAGTATAAGCTTCAGGGTTCGGGCAATTAAGGGATTTCATCTTTGAGCCGTTGGGTCTAGGGTTTGGGCTTCGAGCCAGCGACAAGGATCTAGGGCAGAGGCCTTTGCTTATAGGGTTGATTCTCCCAGGGAGCAGAGTCTTCAAGGTCGGGTTTGGGTGGACGATGGAAGAACCTTTTGGGCTGCGGGGGCTTGGTGTGATGCTTCTGAAAGTTGTATCCTTTCGAAGGTAGATGTCGCTAGTCCAGAGCACCAGCAGCAGGAGGCACTGCACCAAAGCCTTAGCTGTAACTACACGAAACTCGCAAACAAGAAGAAATCCCCACTGCACTTCTCCAAACCCTCAACCCTATAAACCCTAAAGTCTCCCCTAAAACCGTCACGAGAAGCCTTTGGCACTCCCAGGTGGAAGAACTTCGCCCAAGCATCGGTGCAAGGAGGCATGGCAATTTCACGGTTCCGAAAGCGACAAAGCTACATGCTATGTTAGTGGTCAAACTAGAAGCTCTGCCATGTACTCATTCAGTGAATGTTCAGCGTGATCTGCTTGGGAGCTTCACACAATCCGAAGCATCGAAACTTCTGCCAGTTCATAGGACTGAAGCACAGGCTGCAAATCCGCACATTGCAAAGGGCATGCCAGACCACTCGCTTGCATGACTGCTCAGTCACGATACATGAACACAGCTTTGCAACGGCAGGTCATCAACACGTGGCTCGGAAGACCTGTCGTGTCTGCATGGGGACTCAGCAGTCCCGCCCTGGCCAAGCCTCGTTTGCCCATCTGCTGTAGATGTACCTGCAGCCATTAAGAACTTTGAAGATTGAGAACGAACAAATTGTTGTAGGCATCTCTGCAGCAGCATGCGATTCACTCCCGAGTGCTTGCAAGCAGACATGTGACTTCAGTCCTGTCATGGGTGCATGCACAGACAGAGACACTCTCGACAGATTTTTCCCACGAGTGAGTTCTATGGCTTCAGCATGATCAGCACACTGCAAAGCCGGGATCATCGTGATTCGCCGGAGGCAGAAGCATCTAGCGTGCATGAGCACACCCATGCAGTTCCCCAACTGAACTCAGAAGGTCCCGAAAGCCCTAGTGTGTTTGGGTAGGGCGAAGGAAAGACTAGCTAACATGAAATTAGAATCCCCGGGCACTTCATGAAACCGTCTATGCTATGTAACAAGACAGGTTTTCGTTACAGGGCTCAGGCTTCTGTATGGATGCACCCAGACACGGGTTTCCCTCTCACGGCAGCTGACTAAGTCATCGGACAAAAGCTTTGCTCGGATCGGACAAAAGCTGTGCTCGGATAGCCGGTGGCTGGCACTTTCTCATCACTCCATGGCAGCCCGCACCTGATATGTGATCACAAGATTCCAATACCGAAATGGCCAATGAAGAACTAATGTAACTAATGATCTAACGACCCAATTTACCTGAATCGAAAAATGAAGTAACATGTCTTATCCCCCCCAAGAACCTCGGCAGACGTAGGGCGAAGCACCACAAACTCCTGTGCTGCCATAAGCATGAGCTCCTGGAACTCGGGATCTCGAGGGGCAATTCCACTCTGGAGCCAGCGAGCTCTGGCATACATGTAGTAGTTGGCCTGCACAAGCCACCCCAGAAATGCTTGGGATCTATTATGCACATGTTAACATAATACATGCTTTCCTGTGTGTTTCCTGCCTCGGCTTCGGTTCGGGTGCGGCTCTCGAGGGAAGGTGCAATCTCCTGAATGAAACCCTTTGCAATGCCCATCCACAACTTCTCGGCGTCGCTTCCCTTGATCGGGGGCCTGGAACGACGGGCAAAGGTGTGTGGATAGCTGAAGGTGTCGGCTTCATCAATGTAGTGAATGGAAGCATGATCCCCAGGACGGGCCCTTCCGAAAGGCTTGGTCCTGCTTTTCGCAGGAGCAGCCTTTGGCTCCTCAGTCGGAGCCACAACCTTGGGCTGCCGGCTGCGTTTGCCCTTGGCCCTTGGCTTCTCCTCCCACTCACCTTCAGCTTCACCTTCATTCCAACTCCAATCACCCGTCTCACCCCAAGCCTCGTCCCAGTCGCCGGCTTCCCAGCGAGCCCAATCATCGTCCCCCCATTCCGTGTCTTCCCACTCGGGCTGCCAAGCATCTGTCCCATCCGAGCCCGCCGGCTTGGTGGCCGAACCCTGCTTCTTCGACTGTTTCGTCTGGTTCTGTTTCGTAGCCTTAGATCCACGGCCTCGGCCGCGACCGCGACCTCGACCACGTTTTCCCTCACCATCAGCAGCCTGAGCAGCTTTGAGTCGAAGCTGATCATCTCGTGTGAGCACCTGCAGGTGGGATAAAAACGGGTGGAAGGAAATGCTAACAATCTTATTTCAAAAAATTCTTCACAAATCGTACCTTCTTCTCCGGGGTCAAATCCTCCCTGTACAGCAACTCGGAAGGCTTCGGCTTTGGGGTTGGCTCTGGCGATGTCATTGGCGGTTCCAGAGCCTGCAATGGATCGGCTGCCACGGGGGGCAGATCCTCCAAACACTCCTGCTTCACTCGGCACTTTTCTGGGGTATCCAGGTCTATCACACTGGAAGCTCGGGGCATACTCGGGCTCGGAACTCCATTCCACTGCTGTGTCTCCATGGTATCCATGGAGGAAGTAGCCACAAGCCTGCCAGAACCTTCGAGCCCAGGAAAATATATCAGCTAGGGGATTGGCTTTTGTCAATTCAATCTAAGATTCTGTCGGCGCTTTCGCCTTTCATAGCATTGGCCCTCCTCCTTGGAATGATTTCAATTAACTAAAGTTTTCGGGTGCATACACTGCAAGCAACCTATACACAATGCAACTGCCCGACTGCAGAAAGGGTTCAGCTGAGCGAGCTTATGAGCACCAGCAGCCAGCAAAGCCTTCAACCTCAGCTGCCTTTGCTTCGCCTCCCGAATGGCTGCCTCTCTGTCCTCGTTGGCCAACTCGGTCCTGCTGTCGGGCAGCACTGTCTCACCCAACTCGGTCCTGCTGTCGGGCTTTGTCTCACCCAACTCGGTCCTGCTGTCGGGCTTTGTCTCACCCAACTCGGTCCTGCTGTCGGGCACTGCCTCACCCAACTCGGTCCTGCTGTCGAACAGCACTGTCTCACCCAACTCGGTTCTGCTGTCGGGCACTGTCTCACCCAACTCCGTGGTGCTGTCGGGCAGCACTGTCTCACCCAACTCGGTCGTGCTGTCGGGCAGCACTGTCTCACCCAACTCGGCAATGCTGTCACCCGCCAGCATCTCAGCGGACTCTGCCCTGGCGACGGGCAAGGTGTCACCCTCCTCCACATAAGGCTCCAACACCGGCAAATCATCACCCTTGTCATCCAGTTCATCCAGCAGAGCTTGGAGGGATCGAGGGCCAATGTCATCGATCGAGTAATGCTCATGAACAACAGCAGGCACCATATCCGTAGACCCGGAAGATTCCGAAGTGGTTGGTTCAGCAGGTGGATCAGGAGGAGCTGCAACAACGGTAGATCCCGCAGACCCTGTATCACTCTCGGCATCTTGGATGTAAGGGTCGCTGAGGTCATCACTGGAGTCTGGTCGCAACAGGCTTGCTCGATTGCCCCCAGCCTCACTTTCTACTTTGCAACAACTCAAGGACTCCACTCTACCTTGCATTTCCGAAATGCAAACACAATGGTCATTAGCCCGGAAACACGGACGAAGTTTGCCAGGGCCACGTCGTAGAGTCGCACCAGCTCAGCAGCACGAGGATCCTGCAGAGACAAAACTCCAAGCATGAGCCCTTCTACTCCAGCATTCCTGAATCTCTTAACTCTGAACAACCTGAATTGCTGAATCCAGGGTCCTTCGGGATCTCAGGACCCCCGGGTCGTGACCACTTCCTCCGGGCAAGCGTGAGGCATCGCTTGATGCCCCAAGCCTCTTGGTGAGCCATGTCTTCGGCAATGGCAGGGTTTGGGTAACCAGCATCGCCAAACAGCTCTAGCACGAAGGGCCCCATAACATCCACAGACGGTGTCTCCACGACCCCAGCTTTTGCCATGCACTCCAAGACCGGCTTCAGCACTTCGTTGTTGGCTGCTAGGTTTTTCACATTTCCCAGCACCTGCTTGCAGTGTGGGTTAGTTGAAACCATCAGCGGCCTCCCCTTGACCACTCTTCGCCTCAGGCAAGGCGTATTTTCCCAAGTTTTGGGAAGCGACGAGAAATTAACCATCGTTGTACCGAGGCTAAAAAAGCACAGAGCAAAAAGAAGCCCAAATGGCTTTTGATACACACTGTTTTCATGCTGCTCCCCTATGCACATACCTCGATCGTGATTGCACATGCAGCAGACAACATGTGTGCCCTTAAGAAGAAGCGGGGAGGGGCACTGGCCAAGGTCAGGATGTGCCGCCAATGAAGAGCTCGTCGGTCTCACCACCTGGAACAATGCTTTGGCCCCCTCTGTAACTTAGGGTAAGTACGACTTCGGATGATTCCAGTGATATCGGCTTCCAGATCCCAAATACAAAATCCAAACAAGCCCCGAGCTAACTTAAAAACCCTGTAGAAGCATCGACGACCCTGCCTCCGTCGGCAAATGATCTTGATCGCAAAGCAACGGCGAAAGAGACATGTTCAGGAAACTTGAAGGTTCAGGAAAAGCTCAAAGGAGTCTTTAGGGTGTTTTCGGTGTTCTGGGCTGGGGTTCAGGAAAGGCTCTAAGGAGTCTTTCGGGGTGTTCTCGGGCTTTAAGGTCGGGCTTTAAGGTTCCGGAAAGGCTCACTAGAGTCTTTGGGGGTGTTTTCGGGCTTTAAGGTTCAGGAAAGGCTCACTAGAGTCGTGCGGGTACTCTCGGGGTTTAAGGGTTCCGGAAAGCCTCCAAGGATTTGGCTTTACTAGTGATGATTGATGGTAAGCGTGTGGTTGGAGATGTCTTCGGAATCACAAGGATGCACGGCTTGTGGAATTAGACTCGCTGAGCCACACTGCAGAGCTCCTGTTTTACAGGTGCCGGGTGTTCAGGGTTTGGGTCTCTTGAGGTCTATAGGGCTGGGAGCTTAGGGCAGGACAAAGCCTTGCAATCCCCTTGAGAGGTCCTGACCACCACAAAAAACCAATCTGGTATGCTTCGATATCGTGATGCCTGCGATGCCCCTTATTCTCGAGGATTATGAGGGTTATATGGACCCGGGTTTAGGGGCTCCAGTGAAATACGGGCGCCGATTTCGGCCACCCAATTATAATCGGGCGTAGGTACAATAACCGGGTTATACCCGGCACAACCAATAATAAGTAGGTTGTAACGGCCACAGGTATATATATATATATATATAGGGATAGACCGGCATTTATTGGAACGATGTCTTATGTAGCAACTCCATATATGGGTAAGGACGTCGTGGCTATGTAGACTATGATTGCACAACTTGCCTCTACACCAATGCTTTTGCTGCCTAGCTTCGGGATCAACATCCATAATCAGGAGATCATCATCATCATCCGGACTCGGGGGAGTTGGGGCAGCATGCGGTGATGCTGGGAACTCTTGCTCCCACAGTTGCTGGGATCTCGGCTGTGCATCGGTTGAGATTGGTCGTGAAATCTGTTGTGGAGTACGGGCAGGTGTTGCTACAGGACGACGTGTGACTGCATTGGTTGCTGCTGCTGCTGTGCGAGTGCATTCCAGGTCTGCATTGGTTGCTGCTGCTGGTGAGTCAGTGCATTCCGGGTCTGCATCGGTTGCTGCTGTTGCTGTGGCAGTGCTTTCCTGGTCTGCATCGGTTGCTGCTGTTGCTGTGGCAGTGCTTTCCTGGTTTGCCTCGGTTTCTGCTGCTAAGTCATCATGGCAACCCTCGTGTTCATCGTTTGCGTGTTGCTGCTCATCACCGGCTGCTGGGGGAGCCGTGCTAGCAACTTCTGGAAGCACAGGAGCCGCCAGGGCAGCATCTTCCTGAGACGACCAACCTCTGCGGATCTGCTCGGCCTTGACTTTCAGCTCTGCCAAAGCAAGCTCTGCTGCCTCAGCTGAAGTTTACTGGGTGGGGATGTGTTACATGAGTATAGGAATTAAACTATTAAACAGGATGTTACACTAGTGCAAGTCAGGGGCTCTAATATCTGCTTCGATATTCTCCACTTGTGGCGGTTCTGCTTTGCACTTCGTAGCCATGAGGACTTGCCCGGCCCTACGAGTGGCCCACTGCTATGGGACGGGGGTGTAGGGTGTAAAAGCCACCCTACTTGTCACACAAGTGACACAAAAAGCCTGAGCAGAAGCAGCCCAAATAGTGCGATTTACGGCGTAATCCCGCGTAACGCAAAATTACGGCACTGGCACACAAAGTTACGGCACTGCACGCCTAATTACGGCACTGCGGTTTTACCTCAAATTAGCTCCAAAACAGCAAAAAAGCGTAAAAAACCATTAAAACCTTTTAAAAAGCTATAAGCCAGCCCTCTCAAAAGCGACACCTGCCACCCAGATCACCTTCCAACCCTTTAACAAACACAACACAAAACCCGAAAGCAGCCCAGCTTAGCTTAAAACCCGCAACCCAAGCCCCCCATGGCAAATCTATGCAAGGCTTTGTCTGCGGGGGCCCTTCGTCGGGCGGTGGCTGAAGCATGGGTTGGGGGTGGGGCTTTGTTTCATAGATAGGTAACAGCAACAGATCACTCAAAGTAGAGTCTGCTAGTACAGGAGCTATATATCTATACTAATGATCACATACTATATGATGCAAAGCATCATATAGTATGTGATCATTAGTATATATATATATATATATATAATGTATATCCGCCCACAGTAGCATTGCAATCGAAGCAACAGCAGCAGCAGCTGCAAGCAGCATGAGTGATATAGTAGTAGTACTAGTAGCAGTAGTAGTACTAGTAGTAGTAGTAGTAGTAGTAGTAGTAGTAGTAGTAGTAGTAGTAGTAGTAGTAGTAGTAGTAGTAGTAGCAATATCGTTGTGTACCAGCAACAACAGCAACACCTATATATCCGTCGTCGTCTTAGTGGTATATATTTCTGTATATGATGGATACGTATAAACATTTATATATATTATATATATATATATATGTAGATGTATATATATACATATATATATATATATATATATATATATCAGTACAACGACGACGGCAGCGATATATAAACTGAACACACATAATCAGTACTATACTACCACCACGGCGACGACGGCGATCACGACGTGCACTGACTCAAGGCATATAGTAACACACACATACAATATGTATACATATTCATATATACATATATATATATATATACGTAGCTACAAGTGGTCGTAGTAGTAGGAGTAGTAGTAGGAGTAGCAGTAGTAGTAGTAGTAGTAGTAGTAGTAGTAGTAGTAGTAGTAGCAGCATAGTGCTGAGCAACAGCAGCAGCAGCAGCAAGAGCAGCAGCAGCAGCAGTAGTAGCAGCAGCAGTCGCAGTAGTTGTAGCTGTAGCAGTAAGTATGTATCGTCGTCGTATAGTAGTAGTAGTAGAAGAAGAAGTATTCATAGCAGTAGCTTTCTGGTATAGTGAAAGCAATCATAATGGAGTATATAGTCGTATCGCTAGTATAGAAGCTATGTATAGTATACCATGGTAGGTTGTAACAGCAGAGCTATATATATATATATGTATATATATATATATAGATATATTATAGGTAGTAGTTGTAGTGGTGGTACGGGATACAGTGGTAGAAGACAAGGAACAAGTGCTGGTATAGTAGAGCATAGTAGCAGCAGCAGGAGTTGTAGTGCGGGAGTGGTGGTAGTAGTAGAAGCAGTCGTAGTAGTAGTCGTAGCAGCATAGTGTGGTTCAAAGTGTGTTGTGAAGCAGTTGGTAAATGGAACTCCAAGCAACAACAGCAGTAGGGTAGCAACAGCAGCAGCAAGAGTGTGTCACATGGCATGCCGTCATCGTGATAATAGTAATAATAGTAGTAGTCGTAGTAGTAGTAGTAGTTGTTGTAGTAGTAGTGGTAGCAGCAGTGGTTGTATAGTAGCAGTAGAAGTAGCATAGTAGTAGTAGTAGTAGTAGTAGTAGTAGTAGTAGTAGTAGTAGTAGAAGCAGTAGTATACTAGTAGTACTATTACTACTACCCTATTTATGTAGTATAACTATACTACTACTGCCTCTGCTACTATATACTACTTTATACTACTCTTACAAGGACGACTACTACTAGTACTAGTACTATATAGTACTAGTACTAGTACTAGTACTAGTACTAGTACTACTACTACTACTACTACCACTACTACTACTACTACTACTACTACTACTACTACTACTACTACTACTACTACTACTACTACTACTACTACTACTAGCAGTCTAGCACTCGTTTGGCGGTATTGCTAGGAGTGCCAGTATCATCATTTGTTCGCACTTAAAAATATCGTCACCCAGGCCCTCTAGAGGTCTTGCATGGGGTTTTGGGCTATATAGGTTTGTTATTCTTATTGATTGTGTAGCATGAGGACATGTGCTGTGAACATATTCATGCGATATTCATGTGGTGTGTATACATAAACATGCAACACAAGGGCATGCATCTTATCCTGATACTATACTATACACATGCACAGAACTCATGCAAGGACGAGCATGCTTCAGGGCATCCAGTGTCTTCGGAACAGGTCGCCTACGACTGCGAGTTTAGGAGAACTTGAAGTATTACGTAGTCTTAGCTTTGGCCCTATTCAAACTGAAGCTGTGCACTACTTCTCAGGAATGCCAGCGATCTACTGTAGAACCCCAATACGAACTTGATCTAACATAACAACCAACACCTCCTCAATTTGGCGATTTCTAGAAATACGGCAACCTCTTATTTGCTTGAACTATAGACCCTTAACACCCCCATGCGACCCGTTCCTTTGCTGCCACGAAGAGAGTCCAAGCTCTCAGCCTGTGAAACTACGTGCTAGAACTTGCCTCAAAACCCTTAAGAATGTGGTCTCAGCTTCGACCCGCACATCCTGGGAATTCCTCGTAGATGAACTCTCCGACTCCACCGTAGGCCAATGTCACCTGCCCAAGAGAAGTTGACAGCTTGTTTAAGACAAGGTAGCTACGGCTGCTGCCTACCTGATTGGGCTGATGCTGCCACTGAGCTTCATCCGTATGGAAGGATAGCCACACATCTGCATCTATCCATGGGGTTGCCGAAGCAGATTTCCTAGGTGTTGGGCAATGTAGTTTTTGGGAGGGCTGTTGATATGTTTTGAGGATAATGAAACTCCAGTGCAAGCAAGAGGCTCCGACAGTACCCATTTCCACAAGCCATAGGTCTGCAGCCGAAACCCCAGAACCAGAAGGCCTGGAGATAAACCTCGGTGCGATGGGAGCTTGATTTAAAACTGATTGAATTAAAAGACAGATATGATAAGTGCAAGCGGCAGCATACACACCGGCATGTAGTGACCCGTGCTGCTCGAATATTGCATGTCCAGCATCTTAATAGCGATAGCTCCAGAATCCGCAGAGCCTCAGAAGGGAAAGGCATCGAGATAGATAGAGAGAGAGAGAGAGAGAGAGAGAGAGAGAGAGAGAGAGAGAGAGAGAGAGAGAGAGAGAGAGAGAGAGAGAGAGAGAGAGAGAGAGAGAGAGAGAGAGAGAGTGAGGCAGCGATAGACGTAGAGACACCCATATATTGTTCGCAGATATGAGGCTGGTCCTTGTTGTAGTTGAATCAGAAAACCAGGCAGAGGTGCCCAGTACTTCCAAGTCTCCTTTGTTTGAATCTAAAGCACTGTACTGCTGGCAATATTGGTACACCCGACTTGCTGCACTGCTGGGCCTTCTCCAGATCCGAGCCCTCCGTCTTGAAGAAAAGCAGGACCAGAATCAAGAGAACCTGGGATATAGTTTTTTTCTGATCTGTATAAAGTAAGCAAAGCTACGATGCGTGAGTGCATAATGCATCTCGAGGACGGCTGCTGCGGATACTTGATGGCAGAACCACATGGCTCCCAATCACATGGCTCTCGGGTCCAAGGTTCACTATCGGATGATCAAGATATATATATATATATATGATCGTGACATGTAAACACACAAGCTGAAGCTTGACAGGCTGATGCGAGCAATCGCATTCAGTACACGGGAGCGATAGCAGAAAAGTAAAGCCATAATCCCAATCATGCAAAGCAAAACCGTGGCACCTGAGGACGTGCTCCGTTGCCGCTTCCTCCATGCGAAACTCATCGGGCTGTACCTGGCTGCATACAAATGACCGATGATGGAATGATACTCTGCTGCACTTCAGATGACTACAATCTCGATCGTTTTCTTCGCGAAAGCACACTTCGGAGGATCGGCAGCAAAGGGCTACACTACACAGCTGTTGAATGCGTTTGTGGTCCCCTATACTACCCTTGATTGCTGTACTTATTACATGTGGGTAACATGGATAGATTCTGGCGTGAGGGACCACTTGCATGAACCCCATAAGGGAACGTTTGCATGCACTGACACACAAGGTTCTTTTCCCTGTGCATCCAAGCATGCCCCAAATAATTAAGCATGGCACATCATGTGGCAAACCCCGTTGAAAAGTCGATCTAGCTCCCCTGATCAAGCTGAGCACCTAGTCCTCGGCTCGGGTTCGTGGCCGTCCACGGACTCCTCGATACACGTAGCTGGGATTCCGGCACGTGAGGCAGCCTCCACGGCTCCACCGGCACCTTGGGCATCCCAGCTCACGGGCTTCTCCATCTCCACCCGCTGCCGGCGGCGGATTCGCACCTGTATCCTCAGCATCTGCTGGATCTGCTGGCACCACGGCACCTGCATCCTCAGCAGCTCGTAGAGCTGCTGGCACATCCTCAGCACGGCCTCGCCCACGTCCTCTGCCTTTTCCCCGTCCTCGGCCACGGCTGGTAGCAGGCTCGCTGCCTGCCGTTGGGTCCAGCGGGGCCTCCACGGCATCGTTGGATCTCGCCCTCGATTTCGCCTTCGCTTTCGCCTTCGCTTTGCAAGCAGCCTTGCCCTTGCATCCTTTCCCCTGGCCTTTTGCAGTAGCTTTAGCAGCAGCTTTAGCTTTAGCTTTAGCTTTAGCTTTAGCTGTAGCCTTTGCTTTAGCTTTGGCCTTAGCTTTTGGGCCGCCCTTGGGTCCCCGCTTAGCAGGACGTTTCAGTGCTCGCAAAGCATTCTGCTCCTGGGCAGTCACGATCGGCTCTGAAACCTGCCAGCTCAAGCCATGCATTCTAGATAAGCAAGCTCTTGACTATTGATACATACATACATACATACATACACAGCACATTTCATATGCATATTAGCGAACCTACCTCGGGCTCCACTCGGTCCAAGGGCTTTCCCGGCAACACAAGGGTCTCGGCTGAGGAGAGGCCATGCAAAGTAGCCGAAGTCTCATACTTGGGTGTCCTTCTACCATACCCAAGACCACAACTGAATTCCCAAATCATGACTTGCTCACAACAGAAGAAGCCCGCCTCTTCATCAGGATTGGCTCCTGGGCTGGGTCGCTTGGAGCGAGCACGGCGAAGGGCAGGACGTCGTTCGGGTTCAGGGCTGTCATCGATGCGGATGGGCTCACCTCGCAGCTGCCAGTCATATATGAGGTACTATATAGCATCTTTCGTATTCTAGAAAAAAGAATTCGGGCGAGCTGCCAGGATGCAATGTAGGAGCCGGCTTCGGGTGCCTTAAGCTGTGCCGTAAGATGACATTCTCGGACGTATACCAGGGTCAGTTGCTACCAAGATTAGAACTAAAGCAGTCCAAGTACCCGATCAAAGATTTTCGTAGTTCTGCGATCTGGGCATTGATTTCGGCGAGCTTATCACGTTTCTGTTGCATTCCATAGCTGCTACTTCCACCACTACCGGGCAGTTCCACAATCGCATCGTGAGCATCAACATCTTCCTCCTCCTCTCCTTCCCCCTCCCCGGCAGAATCCTCTTCCTGCTCCTTGTCATCTGCGGCCCCGTGTGCGGGCCCCTTGCCCTTACCCTTCTTATCCTCATGATCATCTTCTGCCTCCTCTGGTTCATTCTCATCCTCCCCGGATTCCTCTTCCTGCTCATCTTCCTCCTCCTGAAGTCGATTCCTGCTTGCAGCTCTGGCCCACTCCTTTCGTCGGCGCTTGATGATCTTGAACAGCTTGCGAACATTCTCTTCCTTAATGTAGCAAGCATAATACCGAATTCCACAACATGTTATCATGCACCGTTGACAACTGATTGCTAATCGAAGTAGCTTTGGGAGTCTGCCCCCGTCGCTCCGAATCTCTCTGCCGTTTCAAAGCAAAGCTGACCATGGTCCTTATGGACCAGGCATCAATCCAAGGTTGCCTTTTCTCCTCCGGCACGTGGTTCATCTTCTTGAAGAGCGACTTGACCTGCACAGGATTGGAGGGGTTCAAGAAATCGATTGGGAAAAATACTATCCGACTGATCGTCTTAATCACGGGCCTCGGGCTCCAGGGTCTTTACCGAGATCTTCGGGGTGGACATCCATTGGATGGTTTCTCGCAGGGAGCTGAAGTTCAAGTTCAAGGCATTGGTTGTAAGCAAAGTATTGTCGCCAAGGGCTTCAGGAGGCGTTTTGATCCAATCCAATCCTTTCCTGAATCTTCTCCTCAAAATTGGCTGGGATTCCAGCCGTGTAGACAGGCGTTCGACACGATCATCAGCCATCATCATGAGATGAGCTCGCTAGGACTAGAACACAGCTTGAACCCCAACATGTTGCAGCAATCACATGTAAACCGCACAAAGCCGGCTCACGACAAAATCGCAGGACCAGTGCAAACGTGGCAGGGCACTTCTTGCTCACTCATGTAGCCACGACCACCGGAAGCCTTAGGTGAGTGGGCGAGTCATGTATGAACTATTGCGTATAATAAAGCATGCTCGCAAATAATGCTGCTGAGAAGCCCATTGGGACAAAGCCATCAAAGCCTCGTCCACGATCTCCCCCGAAAGTCCTGACAAAGTCTAAAAAACCCATTTATAAAGTATTGCACGATCGCAAACCCCAAACCTCGGTCCTTCATCTCAGGATGAGCTTCGCCGACATGTCGAGAGCACCGCACAGCGAGCACGACAAAAGAAATCCTTATATAGTGTGATTCGGGTGTAAGATAGGGGTCCTGATAATGCTTGCCTTGTGTTGTTCGGGTGTACGATGGGGGTCCTAACAAAGGATTTCTCTGAATCTTATCTATATACCCACAAATTTTCAAAGTATCAGTTCCTTCAGAGTAATCTATGTCAAAGACAAAATCTCGACTGCCCATATGATAGTGTTCGTATGTATATACTCAGGACTGATACGACAATGTGTATGGTGCGATGTACCACAGCATGAACTAAAAGTATCGCATGTGGTGCTTCATGGTGCTTCGATGCACAAGAGCAGCTGCGATCGACCTGGGATTAAGGAACTGCTTGGGAAAAATTATGTTTGTTCAGTTCCAAGCCAGAAATATATGGCAGAGGATGTGGGTTTTGGCACAAGATTACTGATAATGGTCACAGTGCCTGTTCTTGGGTTGGGTGATTATCCGGGAGCTTCGGTTCGCACATCTTTTAAGAAGTCGCCCCGTTTCGTGCGGGCCCCGGTTTTTTTAGCCACTGAAGCGTTCCAGGTACTATTTAGGGTACTTTATTAGGGTCCCCTATTTTCGGAAACTCCCATATAGCCTCTTTTGTAGCACCCTTAAAAAGACACCCAGGGTAGCTCCTGGCAGGCCGCAGTCGCTTCCGCCAGCACATGACCTGTGGAGTTCAGGCAGGGCTGGGGCCCCTGAACATCCACGCCCAAAAGGGCTCAAGTGCGTAGGGGTTTTGGGTTTTGGGTTTAGGGGTTTCGGGTTTAGGGGTTTGGGGGTTTAGGGTTTAGGGGTCTAGCGGATTCAGGGGTTTAGGGGTTTCAGGGTTTAGGGGTTAGGGCTTAAGGTTTAGGGTACCCTAGACCCGAAAATTCCCTAAGATCTAGACCCCGGATCCCACCGCACATCCGAGCCAGATCAGATAAACGATTAAAAGCTCCGAGACCTGACTTGACCTTCCACCCCGAAACCACTGGGTTTAGGCCCATTATGTTTTAGGGCTCAGAGTTTAAGTTGCTCAACCCCGAAACTCACCTTGACACAAAAACGGGGCTTCGAATCGTGCTGCCTGTGGGGTGCATCTTCCCAAACCGTCAAAGGTCGCCGGAACACTTGCATCTGGGTCAATATGGGGCCTGTGAAGCAGGTTCCAGCTGCGGTTACGGATCAACTGCGAATCAGCGACACCGCAAAACCCTAAACCCTAAACCCTAAAACCCTAAACCCTAAAACCCTAAACCCTAAACCCTGAAGCCTGAAACGCTAAACCCTAAACCCTAAACCCTAAACCCCTAAACCCTAAACCCTAAAACCCTAAACCCTAAAACCCTAAACCCTAAAACCCTAAACCCCAAAATCCTAAACCCCACTTTCAGTCTCTTTTGGACCCTCTCTCAAGGCATCCCGGAGCCTGAACTTGATGCCGATCCCCAGACATTGGTAAGGCCAGCCCGAAATCCCAAGGAATCCGGAAATCCGAGTATCCTTTAGAATGGGGCCCCCACCCTGTAATAGTGACTATAAGGATTGTATTAGGGCCCTATTATATTCCTACTATACCACTATTACAGGGTGGGGGCCCCTTCTAAAGTATCCTGAAACCAAAGCCCAGACCCACAACAAACGAAAACGGCTCCAAGACCAGTTGTGGGCGTGTTGCTGGTCACCACGAAAGCAGCAAAGGACCCTTGGGTATTCGCTGCACACCTTGCAGGCCACATCGTCTGGAGTGCAGCTTCTGGTTTACGTAGCATGTCAGACTCAGGACCGAGGTTCGTCCTACAGTGTTTAGGGTTTAAGATGTAGAGTTCTTCTCCGGAAGGACACAACTTTGCAGCTGCTGTGAACATGGAGCGAACACAGCGGTTGCGGATCTTTCATTTTGCAGAGGGACATGGGTACCCTTTGTCACGACCACGGCGACCAGAATTCCGAATCATCAGTGCCGTAATTTGCTTACCCTTATGCCAGATATGCCCAGACTACATGGCTGAGCTGCCTGCGCTTGGGTTCGGCTGTCGATACTGTAGGATGCCGGGGGGCGAAAGTTTCGAGAGTTTCTGAACCCTGCACCTTTGACCGCTGCGAAAAACTTGGAAGCGCACCGCAAGCGTTCGAGCTCGTCGAAGGGAGCAAACGGACAATGCCTGGTCTGAGGCTCTGAGGACAGGTAGAAGACAGGGTGCATGCAAGCCAAGAGGACTGCTTCAGGGATTGAGGCTTGGGGGATCAAGGCCTCGGCACAAGACTCACCAAAGCTGATACATGGATATGTACAGCAGCTTCACTCCCGAGACTCGGGTCTCAGCGAAAGAACATGAAAGAAAGAATGGGATGTGCATGTGGCGAGGAGCCAAAACGGTTAAAGCTTCAGGCAACATCGTCATCTGGAGTCAGCAACTTCACGTGAGGCTCGTACCACGACTCCCTATATGTATATGTATATCTATATTTATGTATTCATGTTTATATATTTCTATATATTCATAGATTTGTATGTATAATACACACATAGATAAGCAGATAGATCGATCGGTAGAAAGACACATTGCCGTAGAACAGTCTCGCCGTCGAGATGGCTGACAGCTAAACCATCATGTGCCAGGAGAGTCTGCATCAACATCTTCGCATGCACACAAATCCTGGCAAACCGGGTTAAGTCAGGAACCCTCATTCTACTCTTGACACGGCACCCTATAGATTGCAAGCTACCGAAGAAATTCTGAATTCAGCAACCACTCAAACACTGGGCATCTGGACTTCTGGGGCTGGACAGTTCGGGGGTTTGAGTTTCATCTGAGCCCCGGAAGCCCTTAACCGTTGTTAGTGTTTAGGTTTGACGGCAATGCCGTAATATAGGGGCCTTGATAATTAGAATAGGGTTTTGGGTCCCCCCCCCTAAATAGTATAGGTAATTATTAAAAGGCCCCTTCGAGTAACAAACCAACACCCCAACGACTCCCCTAAACCCAGATCCTTCTTGCTTCTTTATGGGCCTCCTTGGGGGTCCCTTAAGGGATCCTTTTAGGTTTCCTTACAAGCCTCCTTTAGGGGTTACCTTAAGGGATCCTTTAACTAGGATGCCCAGCAACCTAGGAATGAACAACGCTCCCTTTTGGGTATTGGGTAACTTTATAAGGAACCTAAGACTACAAAAAGGGACTGAGGGTTCTACTGGGCATCCTAGTTAATGAAGAGTTTTAAGGAACCTAGGACTACAAAAAGGGACTAAGGGAACTACTGGGCATCCTAGTTCATGAAGAGTTTTAAGGAACCTAGGACTACAAAAAGGGACTAAGGGAACTACTGGGCATCCTAGTGAAGGGCTGCTAGGGTCTCTTTCAGGGCCCAGAGTGCTCCATGGAGCCGACGATCTCCAACGCAGCCCGTCCGAGGAAGAGCGCTCCCTGAGAGGATCTGTAAGGGGTTCCTTTAAAGGGATCCTTGGTGGGATCTATAGGGGTTTAGGGCATGGGCTCCTTTGAAGGGTTCCTTTTGAAGGGACCATGGGTTGAGGGGCTAAGGAACTTTTGTTAAGGGGTTCTAAGGGTTTTTAGGTTAGGTATTATATAGGGGTTTTAAGGGTTTTTCAGGGTGTTAGGGGTTTCAGGGGTTGGGGGGTTTTGAAATAGGGTTTAGGGATTAGGGTGTCCAGTAACCCGGGGAAACGCCAACCTTTTTGGGTTTAGTTTTAGGATCATGTACTTAGGGTGCGCCCGTACCGTAACAGTCTATGATAAGAATGTGATATGGGTACTAATTTGGGTTCAAAGGAGCCAACAACAAGGCATTTTAGATTCGGGTGGGGGGGTATTAGTGATGAGTTAAGGGAGCACCACTAAGCTAAGCCGGAGCATCGAGCATGGGGTCAGGGTTCCAGGAATGCACCCTAAACCCTAACCCTAAGTACATCTTTAGGGTTTAGGATGGGTTTAGGGTTTAGGGTTTGGGAGTAGAGAACAGTGCCATGTAGAACAGGGATGGTCGAGTCCAGTAAAGTCAAAATGAGGAGTATTTGTCGGCCCAAGCTCAAGGCCTTAGCCCGGCCTGTGCCGCATTCACAGCGCAGACGCCTTTGTGCAAGGTCTCCCATGTAGCCTCAGCAACCATATGCCGCACAAACAGCAGCAGCAACAACAACAGCAGGACCGACCAACCAACCAACCAACCAACCAACCAATGACCAACCAACCAACCAACCAACCAACCAACAAACCAAACCAAACCAAACCAAACCAAACCAAACCAAACAAACCAACGACGCAAGAAATTTGGCAGGCAAGCAAGCAAGGAAGAAAGGAAGCAAGGGCAAGCGGAGGGCTAAACCACAGACAGTCATTCACACATATTCATGGCCATCATCATCTTCTTCTTCATCATCAGCAGCATTACCACCAGCATCGACAGCATCATCATCATCATGCAGCACAGCCATCATCATCATTGCAGCATCTTCATAGCACAATGAGGTTGAACATCGTTATATTCTTTTTCCTGGTGATCATCCTGCAGCTCAATGCTCACGGGACGGCAGCTCAGTCATCAGCGGAATCAACAGAGTCGGGCTGAGCAGCCTACCAGCAGGCGTTTCAGTAGCAACTGCAGCTCCAGGCTGACAAAACACAAAGAAAACAGCAATAGACAGATTGTCTACTGAAGACTGCCACAACCATGACATTGACGAAAGTGACAAAGACGATAGAAGGCAATGCGTAACATTCATCCAGACCCACACGATTACATGCGGAACTAGAGCAGAACGGACAGAAAGCGCAGCATTAAACTTCACCTTGTTGAAAGCACTCATACTGGGCAGTGTTTGACTGGATGCAGGGGCGCTGGGCAGCTGGCCTCTGAACGACGACTTGACCCAGATTTGGGAGTTTCCGACAAGTAGGGGCACCTCATTTTGGGAGTCCTTATATTAAGGATCCGACCATTCAGGGTACTATCTTAGAATCCCCTTTGTGTCGGAAACTCCCCTCTGCAATTCAGGCTCCAACCTGCTCCTTGAGTACCTTGACCTTTGTGGCAGTATCAGGTTCTTCGTCGTCGTCGTGCCTGGGCGCCAGGCCAAGCTATCGGAAACACAGCCGCTGAAAAGTCTGCCGGCGTCTTCGAACCAAAAAGTCTGAAACCTACACCCTGAACAGCGAAAAGACTCTATGAGCCCTGTTTGCCTCAGATTGCTGTGCAGGGTGCACGATTCCTACACCCCAGACTAGACTCTAAACCCGGCTCCAACCCTAGAACTAGAACTCCCCAATGAAAGAGGCCTGAAGCCTGAACCTTCAACATCCTTCAATGCTTAACCCAAGTGGATTGAAATCAAATTGAAATCCAGGGTTTAGGGTTTAGGGTTTAGGTGATGATGACCCCTAACAAAGGTGGCATCAGCAATTAACCTCCATGGCACCTCAGAGCTGTGTGGTACGATTCTGCGACTAAGCACCCCCAAACTTTACTCTGTGGCCCCTATCCCTAAACCCCCAAAAACCCTAAACCCTAAACCCTAACCCCTTAAGCCTATACAAGCCATACCATGGCCCCTATATCAAGCCCCCGCCAGGCGCCTTAGATCGGAGACATGGTTTAGGGCTTAGGGGTTTGGGGGGCTTAGGGCTGAAGGGTCTACTGTAGGGGTTTCGGGTTTAGGGCTTGTGGGCTTAGGGGTCTAAGGGTTAGGGGTTTAGGGTTTAGGGGTTTAGGGGTTTAGGGTTTGAGGGGTTTTAGGGGGTCAGGGTTTAGGGGTTTAGGGTTTCGGGGCTTTGGGGGTTTAGGAAAGCAAGCCGGATGATGCCAAATACGAAGACCTCAACTTTACGTCAGGCTTACGGTTTAGGGACGGGGAAACTACCACACAGACCGGTTTAGCGCTGTGTGTTTTCTAGATACGGGTTTGGGCATGTAGAGCTAAGAAGCATATCGGTCCTAGAGTTTAGGATTCTAGGATAAGGGGGGCTAGGGTCCAAGATGCTGAGCTACAGAATCTAACGTTTCAAAGCTGCAGTGCGAACCTGCCATGACGCTTTAATCCGTCTCCCCCAACCCGCAGCGACATGCCGACCGTTGCAAAACTCCATGCCCACGGCTCCTACCCACAGGCTCCATAGTAGTTCCCTTTTGGGATTACCTTATAGGATCCTATATATGAACCCCAAGAAGGAACTGCTTTGGAGCCTTAGGGTATTTGCCCAAAGCTGCGGAACCAAACTGTTACCTTCGCAACAGTACCATTCACAGTATCAACCCTGTGCCCCCTAAATTCAGCCTAATTTCTAAACCACTGTGTGTGTGTGTGTGTGTGATATTCACTGCCTCCATGGCGCCTCGGGCTAATTACAGCGGCTTCTTGTTGCTCTACCTGCTTCCAGCGTACACCTAAACCTCGTGAAGCCACAGATTCCTGCGTGCGCCGCTTTATCATTAATCCCCTCTCTAACCATGACCCCAGGACGCTATCCAGACCTCCTAGTTCCTATGATTAATGTATTGGGCCGCGACTAGAGGCCTAAATTGCAACCTGGACCTTAGAAGCCTACCTTTCTCAGCTTCTTTATGATGGTTTCCCCAAAACCCCCACAGTACCAGCCCTCACCGACCTCACCGACACTGTTCGAGACGCAAAACTCGAGTTCCAAATCGAAGACGATCAGTTGGGTCTGCTGGCAGCTCACCTCGATGTTTTTGTTTGTGGCTTTATGTTTCTGCTTTTGCTTTTTGCAAAGGATGCCTCATCAAGCAAATGCCATCACAAAAGATACTACTTTTCATACTACAACAACAACTGCTGCTGCTGCTACTACTACTACTACTACTACTAAATATCATACCATACCGTTTCATATATCGTCGGTTGTTGCGTCAGCTCATCAAATCTCACACCGTATCATATCAGAACTATATCTTCGCATAACATAGCATATCATAGTACACCATGTCGTATCGTCTCAGGCCACGCCATAACCTGGATACACATAATGTGTAATGCTGATACAACATCACGTTTACGGTTTTCATACGCCATATAACAACAATGTTATGACATATCTCCTATCGTACGTCATAGCATATCTCACATCACGTCATACCACCTGCCGCATCTCAAAGCATCCTGCAGTTTAGATCATGTTAATCTCGTGTCTCATTTCATGCCACATCCCGTTCCTTGCCTCATGTCATACCTGATATGCAATGTATCATGTACTTTATGTCTTGTAGCATACACCGTCCAGCATCACATGCCGTCTGCCAAACACCATATACTATATGGCGGCATCATACACCATAACCAACCACATCCCATATAAACTTGAATCAATGTAAACAGTTTCAACCAGTGCATATATATATATATGTATATATATATAGATATGGGTATATACAAATACACATGTACGTGCATATATGTATGTACATATGTAAAACCATAGTAGTGTCATATGGTTTCCAACTGATTATCAGAGCTAACCACATCATTCCCGATCGTCTTTATCACACTAGTTCGGGTCATACCAGATCAGGCCGTACCATAAATAACTATATATATCTATATATATATGTATATATATATACACACATACACATGTACAACGACAGACAGACTGACGGACTGGCAAACAGAGAGGGAGAGCATGCCCTATCTGTCTAACATACACATACTCACACACAGTGTGTGTAAATAAATATATGTATATATATATATATACATATATGCATACACAGGTATTTATCCAGGGTACTATGTGTAGTCGCATGTACATAGACATTCAAAACAACAAAAAATCAAACATATGTATACATATAAGTGTATATTTATAAATATATATATATATATATAGACATAAAACTGTATATGTATACAGAGGAGAGACGGAGAGACAGAGAGAGAAAGAGAGAGAGAGAGAGAGAGAGAAAGAAACAAACACAGAGATATTTCGTTCGATACGGAGCTCGACGTCGGTAACACAACACAACCTTATGACACTACAGGCTAATGTAGGAATCTGATTAAGAGACCCTGGGCCTATAACCCCAAAATAGTAGGGTTCATATGAGGAGCCCTCATAAAGGCCCAAGGTTACATAATCAGGTTCCAACATTACAGGGTTGAGGAAGACTTCTTCAGCATCAAACTCTAAACAGCAGGATGTGATGCCGTCGACGCACTTCATGAGCTTGCTGCAAAGTACTCAGGCTTTAGGTTCACGGGCTACTATCCTACACTCCTAAACCCCAAACCTCTGAACCCTAAACCCTGAACCCCTAAACCCTTTAAGTACTACTGCCCTACTCCCCACAAAACCGCCGAATGCTCTGCGCAGCCGTGTTGCTCACGACCGGCTGCAACCTGCGGGTTAAACACGTGGTCAAGACTTACCCTTGGTTAGTAGGGAATGGAAGAATGGTAGTATTAGTAGTTATAATTGTACCCCATTCCTCCGTTCCCTACTAACCAAAGGTAAGTTATGGGATTAAAAAGGCCCCTATATTACAGTACCCTTATGGATCCCTTATAGTAGCCCTTATAGACCCCTTTATAGGGCCCCTTCCATTCCCTACTAACCAAAGGTGGCAAGATGCAAGCCTGAGGTTCAGTCGCTTAGTGTTTTACTTATACTCAGTCCATCATGGCTCAAGTTTCTGACGGTGTAGGATACAGTTTCACAAAGTTTAGGGTCACCGCGGGTTCGACAGAAACTGTCAACGATATGGCTTGAGTGTGAATGGCTTCGGGCCGGTCTTACTTAGGCATATTCACATAGCTTTTAGTTGTAGTGATGAGTTTCGAGTATCCACCAGTGTCCCTCTTCCCGTGGATTTCTCAGTAAAGCAGCTTTGATGCTGAGTTTTGATCATGGACCAGTATCCTCTCCCCTTCAACCACCCACCGATATACACTCTAAGTCCCTGCACCGCGCACCCCAAACCCTTCCTCCTTGAGTGTAAGGCTTGAGGAATGAAAGCTGCCAGCAAAGGTTTTGTTCCAAGATACGGTCTAACTACCGTATATTATATCACATTCTATTTACATAGCCCTGGCCCTAAACCTAGACGACCCTGAACCCATGACACCAAAAACAAGGTACCTAAACTTCAACCCCTAAACCTAAACTGCCCTTAGCCCCGTATCCCCAAAAGGGAACCTGGGGAGTGCGGAGGCGACAAATCTCTTGCGCCTTGGGGTTCATACTGTGGAGTTTCAGGGTTGCTGCCAAGTTCTGGTTAAGGAACTCGCATCTAGTCCAGGACCTAGTCTAGGACAAGAAAATTAGGGGGTGTCTTACTTTCACTTCCCTCTCCCTCTCCCTCTCTCAATATATGCATGTACAAATGTTTAGTGCGTGTGTGTATATCTATATATATATATAATGTAAAATACACATACGACATACGCATGAAGGAACAACCTAAAACCTAATCATAAACCCGGGCCGTATACAAACCCTAAATCCACGTGGAACCTAAACCCCTAACCCCTAACCCCTAAACCCCTAACCCCTAAACCCCTAAACCCGAAACGGTACGCTAAACCTAAGCCCAACCTCAAAAGTCATTTCTGAATCTCTTTACCCTCAGGGTCCATGTACACAAAAAGACTTCCTTTAAGGGTTCCTATAAGGGCGGTAGAAGGCTTCTACAGGGTTTAGGGTTTAAGGCATGTACCCCAATAGTACATACTTTGGCCTTCAGGTAGTCCTTATATTATGGTTACTTTAGCAGCAAAGTTTGTACTATTTGGGCACATGGACCCTTAGGGTAATGTATAGCACGACACGCCGGATCCCATGAGTCCCTATGTATGACCTATGAGGCCCAGTTTAGGGTTTATAGGGTTTCTTCAGGGATCATGGGACTTTGTAAGTAAGGTTCTATAAGTACCTTAATTGGGGTTATAAGTAGTTTTAAGTAGAGTTACTTTAATTATAACCCTAGTTACTAAGTCCCATGATCCTCCAAGTTCGGGTTGTGGGCAGGGTGCTCTTCCTGCATAGACCTGGCAAACCCACAGCTGAAAAGTATAGACAGTATAGATGACCCAGCAGATATCATCACATAATGTCCGGGGTGTGTCAGGCATCTGGCTGGAGAGGTGCTGTCTACACCCTAAATACACTCTGAGCCCGAAAGAGCCCTAACCCTTAAACCCTCAACCATTCAGAAACCTGAAGCCCTGATCCAGAACCCCACAACTCCAATTCACTACAGCCCCACAGAGCCCGAAGACTAAACCCACAAATGGGTCTGACAAGGCCTCCGGTCAAAGATGCTTTCCCAAACCTCCGCGAGCTCTTCCTCCGCAAGATTTCACTTGGAGTTAACTCAGACACCCCAAACCGTGCTTCTTTAAGGGCTGCATGTAAGAACTACATTTCTCGTCTTGCGCTCCGTTAGTAGACTGTTATAGTTTGCTTCAGTAGCTTTCAGTATTCGGGGCTTGCTGCTGGCACGAAGCCTCGGCAAGCTTGTATGCTACAAAGGGTTTAGGCTATTGCTGATGACACAACAGTTAAGCCGTCGACGTAAGGGCCTAAAGCATATCCCAAGCCCAATGGCTCCATGCACCTATATGGCATATCATATGGTCATATGGCATATACTTAGGCTTTACATGAGTCCCTACATACGTGTAGGTACTTGAACGTCTAAGTTTATACTATATTATAAGCTACATGGAGCCTTAGGAAAGGGTTCATGTGACTTGGCAACAAATTACGGGGGCCCTATCTGCAACATATTGCTTCGGTAGTTATGGACAGTTTTAATGCATGAAGCCTTAGGGTACTGTGTGAGAACGAATAGTAAGTACACTGCAGTGTAGCACAGTTGAAGATATTATAATCTGGGATGCGACAGCGATATCCCGTATATGGCCGTTTGAACTTAATGTAACTCAAAGCAGATGCCCGGAAAAGCAGTTCATTAGCAAAAGGAGCTCTATTTTCATCTACATGTACCCGAAGTTGCCGTGTGCTGCCTTTTTGCGGTGGAATAGGCTGAGGCCCCACACTTCATGCAGGCCCACACTTTAGGGATTGGGGGGGGAGTCCAGGGTAGCAGCAGCCAAACCCCAAACCCTTCAGCCGAAACTCCAAGTCAACCCCTCCGTCCATCTGGGGTTTAGGGTTTAGGGTTTCACCTCGTGGTCTGAAACTTAAGATACTGGATTACGGGTGTAGAGTTGCGGGCTTTGGGTTGCGCTCGAGAGTTTTCGACTGGCGCCGTGAACCTTCATGGTAAGTGTTTAAGACCCGAACGCTAGAAACTAGAAACCCTAAACAACCCTTCCTCATAGGGTGCCTGCTCTTCACGGTGCTCGATTCTCCGCGTCAGTTTTAGATCCTGACAGAGCTTCTCGGTTTAAGGTTTACCTTAACCAGGAATAACCTACCCTTTTAAGGACTTATATAAGGAAATCATAATAAGGAACCCTAAAACGCTAGGTTCTTTCGGGTCCAGCTAGGGCTTAGGAGCTAGGGCTGTCCATCCTGTCAGATGGTCTCGGTCCACGATTCGGGGCTTACTCAAGTCTGAACAAGGTGAACCGCTGACTGCCTTTCTACCGCTCTTTTTTAAACATAGGTTTTAAAAAACATAGGTTAACAAAAACATTGGTTTTATGTACAAACCTTATACCCAATCCCACAACTTTACCACAGCTGGCGCTGGGAGAAGCAATTGAGGCTCATGGTTTGACTTTCATATTCAGGAATTTGTTACAGGGTTCCGGGTTTACGGTGCAACATGGTGTAACTACGGTCAATTGACTTAGTGTTTCCGGGGCTACGGGCGAACAGCGAACGGGAATCTGCTGATCTCTTAGCCGTCATGAACCAAAAATAGCGAATTAAGCATAAGCACTTGTCGAATAGTCTTACGTGGTTAACGTTCACGATGAACTGTAGCAGGAACCTAAGCACTATGCGGAACCTGATGTAGACCCTAGGATGCGCACTGTACGCACACCCTCTTTGCAGATCTTCTGCTTCAACCCGAATACAGAAAGCACCCAACAAGTCCTGGTTGCAGGCTGCAACGATACCAGTCGCTCCCTGCACGACGTCGGCTATCGCTGCGACCACCCTTGCCAAGGTTCGTTTTTGGCTCTCGACTACCGCACTTGCATCATAGTCTTAAGCCTGCTAATGCCCAACCCGAAGGGAGGAACCCTAAGGAAGAATGTTGGTATTCTTTCTCATGCTTCTAGAGTAGGTCGAAGCACTGATTTCATGATCCTTGCATCCTCAAATCTTCGTCACCCCGAAACCCCAAACCCTGAACCCAGCCTAAAACCTCTCAAGATACAGCTTGACTCCTTTCTGGGTTGTAGGGTTGAGACTTTTTTGGGCTTAGTTTAGGTTTTACATAAGGGTCCTTTGAATCTTAATTGGTCTTTGTGCTGCGGTCTTAAGGATCTTCAAGATGCCATTGATTTAGAGCTTGGGCCAGCTTCGGGTTGCCGGTGCTGTGCAGTCCGTCAGGCAGCCAGGCATCCCACATTAATCTTTACCGAGGATACCCAGTAACCTAAGAATAAAAAGGCCTCTCTTTTTGGTATTGGGTAACTTTATAAGGAACCTAGGACTACAAAAAGGGAATAAGGGCACTACTGGGCATCCTAGTTACAGCAGAAGGCAGAATGAGAAATGGGGTGTGGATTGTGGGCATGCTATGTACCAATGATGCGCGGAGTTCAATTCCTTTCTGCATCATCGAACTCCGACGAAGGAACCCTGCACAGAAGCGTTGATTGTCACTAGGCTCTTTCAGGGGACAGTACCTCACGCTCCTCCTGAACCCCAAACCCTGAAAATCCGTAATCATAAAGACGAAGCAAGCCCTAGAGCCGCCGATGGCGAGCCTCGCAATGTCAGATGCGCAGTACCTCTTCATCCACATCATTCCGGCCTGCAGGGGAAAGGGAAGCATGCCTCGAATCGGCCACAAGGTACTTTAGGGGTTTAGGGTTTGGGGGTCTGGGTTTAGGGGTTTGGGTTTAAGGATTTGGGTTTGGGGTTTAGGGTTTAGGGCCCGCTTTGCATCATGGCAGCGTGATGATTTCGAGCTTAGCGGGGGGGGCAGGGGGTTGTTCTTGCGTGTGTGCCCATATGTTGCTGCACGGATGGTTCGCACTGCAACTAAGGACATGCACTGCAGCTTGCAGTCAGAAGACATACAGAATCATCATAGCTGTGTCATCCAGAAGGTATCCTGCAATTTGGGCATGACCTGAAAACAAATAGCCTGCAAGCGGTTAACTATGCATCGAAGACATCCTGTTACCGAAATGAAAACAATGCCAAGATGCACACTCAGAGGAAGCTGCAGATAAGTAGCCCGCTACCCAGGACCTTGCGGAAAACGGGAGGCAGCGCCGACGAGGGAACACATAACAGGGTTTTGCGTTTTGAGTAACTTGCGAGACCGACTTATGTACAAAACGCAGCAATCCCAAAACCAACAATTTAATTGAATCCCGAGGCCCCAAAAACGTGCCTCCGACACCCCAAAACCGATGGCAAGTCTTCGAATGATGCCCCAGTGTCATCCCTTGGTTTCCGACTATGGCGCTACTTACAACCCAGAGACTCCAATACACCTTAATTAAGGAATATACCTTAAATTAGAGTAGGACCCATAATATGATTTAAGGAATGATTCCCTAATTAAGGGGTATTGGGGACTCTGGGAAATCCACGCAGGCCGGGCCGGTAGGCTGGAAGAAGCAGGTTAAAGCTTCCTTCTTGTTGCTAGTCGTACTATTACTGTTAGTAGTCGTAGCAGTAGTAGTACTAGTAGTAGTAGTAGTAGTAGTAGTAGTAGTAGTAGTAGTAGTAGTAGTAGTAGTAGTAGTAGTAGTAGTAATTAGTAGTAGTAGTAGTAGTAGTAGTAGTAGTAGTAGTAGTAGTAGTAGTAGTAGTAGTAGTAGTAGTAGTAGTAGTAATAGTAGTAGTAGTAGTAGCAGTAGTAGTAGCAGTAGTCGTAGTAGTAGTAGCAGCAGCAGCAGCAACAGCAGCAAGAACCTAGCATCCCTCCATCCTTCCATGCACAACCGGTGTCTGAAAGGCATCGATGTGAAGATATGTAGTTCAGGCCCATGTGCAAACTCTTGAAAAATTCGAACTTCAACGTGAGAAAGTGTCCACACGAGCATCACTACAATCCCAAGGAATGCAAACCTTACCTTACAGTATGAGCACTACGTACGTTCTACATTCTACATGGCATCATTACGCTTTGCTACGCTGCCCACACGAATATTCACCTCTACAAAAAGCGAGCCTACAATGCCTTAACCCTCTGCTGAAAAAACATGTCTGCCTACATCTGTACATATGTGTATATAGATACTTATACAGTTGATTCTTGAATATTCAATCCTACACATAGCTGTGTACATGTAATTATAAGGGTAATTATATGTATCTGTATGTGTATATATATATATATATAGATAGATAGGCGCATAAAAAAATACAAAACGATATTAGCTATATACACATACATACTTGTATATATATGTATATATATATATATATACGCACACACCTACGTTCGCACTTGTACGTATCTTCATATCTGTAGAAATCTTGACGGCGTGCGAGGCCGATTCAAGCCGCAGGGGCCAAGAAGCGATTGTGCCAGAAATCTGCGAAGCACCTGCGAGGCGAATGAGGATCTCAGACACACACATACAAAGGGTTAAGGGTTTACAGTAGACACCAAAAGTTGGAAACCGGATTAAGGCCAAATAGTGCTGGCATTCCCCATACATTACTCTTCAGGATTGAGGCTATTGGGTTTCCAACTTTTGGGCTTCTACTGTAGTGACTACATACCCTACGATTGAAAACAGGAGACGACCTGGGCTTGAAATCTTTGCAAAAGTTTAGTTTCATTTTTCTCATCCGCCCCTAACGTGCCCTTCGCATTCCAATTCCAAGCAGCTGGCCATCCTCAGCCTCCAACTCTGACTCTCTAAAACTACACCCTGCAGAATGCTAAGCCAGGGTCTCATGAAACACGACATACATAAACTATACACTGCTTCAACTGCATCCGGAAACCGGGATGGCAGAATGTACGGTGAACGATGTTCGGGGGTCGAAACATGGCAAGGCCAAGAATACGTCTCAGAGTAAAGGTTTTGGGGTTTTGGGTACAGGGTTCAGCGGTCTCGGGATCTAAGTTGGGTGTGTCTCAGGACTTCTATAAGTTAAGAGTAATTAGAGCGGTATCGGGGAACTAACAAGGCTACACCCAAACCCACGAGCAAAAAGGGCCCTGCCGGGTCTACGTTAGAAGCTGCCCCCACCCTGTAATAGTGACTATAAGGATTATAGTAGGGCCCTATTCTATTCCTCTTATACCACTATTACAGGGTGGGGGCCCCTTCTAAGTTCTGCGTCTGAGGCCACATCATTACAGGAACATAAGATACCGTCATGCGTACACACACGCAGGTGGGGTTGTAGGGCCTTGCGGATTCGCGTAGCCAGCATGTGCCCATCAAAACTTGCAACCAAGCTACAGGCATTCCTGAGCCCACAGCCCTCATGCCCGCCGAAACTCCATACAGAACCCCAGCCCCACTCAACGGCCACAACCATAGTCATACACTTAGGCCACGAGCTAAACATGGATTAAAGCGGAAACCCTTCATTCATCATACTCCACGAGCCCAAAACTCCACCCACCTGAAGCCTCACCCTGGACCTCCAAACATTACAAACCCTGGAAGCTCCCAAATCTGAAAACCCTAAGACTCAGACCGGTTCAAGCCCCCAAACCGTCAGAAGCTAAGCACTAAGAGCTCTGGTTGCCAACAGGACACAGAGGTTTCTCACGACTTGTTTTGTCTTCTTCTGCAGAACTGCCTCGCAGGTCCGACATCGGGTCTCCATTCGGTTGAGGCTTTATGAGGTCTCGGGTCTAGGGTCCGGGATCAAGTTCATTTATATGGGTTCAGGCTCAAGGTTTGTGTGTGTGTGCGCTTTTTTTGCAGGGGAGGGAGAAGGGGTGGGGTGCTCCTGTTGCCTGTGGTCTGGGGGATTTGGGGTTTAGGGCGTCTGAACTCAAAACCAGGGTTTAGTCAAGGTTTTTGGGCCTCGGGTCTAGACAGGCTTTAAAATGGTGTGACAAGGGTCTCAGCTGAGCTTTACACGGCTTCGTGCGGGCCTCATATATAAAAGGCTTTACAAGCGATAAGGCTGCTTATGACAGGTTCTATCAAGCCTTTAAAGGGTATAACAAACGGCTCTTGCAGGGTTTAAGGAGGATCTGTCTTTGCTACACGCATGTCCTACTCTATGGTAGGGCTCAGGATATCAGAGTTTAGGCTTTCATGGTTGTGCATAATGTTTGACAACCCTAAACCCTGAACCCTCTTTCGAGTTTCAATTTTTCGGCATTGGGCCCTTCTGGGATCTTTTGGGAAAGTGGGATGTCGGCTGTAGGGCCGCATAGGCCCGACGGCCTTCAGGCTTTAAGGTTTCGGAAGGCCCGGGAAAGTTCAGGGTTTAGGGTGTTCAAGTTTGGGCTGCATTTACCTGGAAAACCTCTAAAGGTGCCACGGCAAGCTAATACTCAAGATGATACACAACGAATTTGGGCTTCTCCCTGTGTCAAATCTGTGTGGTCAAGGGCTTCATGTTTCCTCTCACAACATGCATGAATGGAGTTGTGAGGGAAGTTTGCACATATTCACATATGTGACTAGAGATTGTACTTCCTGCTTCCTGCTTCCGGATGATGCTCAGGAACCTGGCATCCTAAATCCCTTATATAACCTCGAAAGCCCTGAACCCAACTCCCCCACTCCACGACCTCTGAATCTAAACCCTAAACAAGAACACCCCAAAAACCGCGAGACCCTTACATAAACCCTCCGAAAACCTGGAAGCAAACACCCATGATACCCTAAATCCAAAGCCCGAGCGCCTCGCCCACATGTAGAGCTTACAAAAGGAGGATCCTTCGTGTCAGGAACCAAAAGACCCAAAACCCTGAGCCCTAAACCCAACACCCTACACCCTAAACCCTGAACGCCTAACGCCGTATACCGAAGCCACCTAAAAGATCAACCCCTAAACCCTAACTCCCAAATCCCGACCTCTGGAATGATGCCTTCCTCTTCTTCATGAAGCCTTCGGAAGAGCTCATTGGCCTCAATGACAGGTTAGGATGTTTCGCTTTCGGGGGTGTCGGGCTCAAGGCTTGGAGTAAGTTTAGGGTTACGGGCAATGAGGGCTTCAGGATGTAGTGTGCGCTTGTTGGAGATAGATCTGCTTCAGCGGTTGCGTAAAAAGAGTGGGGCTTTTTGTGCTGACGGATTCCCTAACCCCCCCAAAATTGTTACCGCAATCTTAGGCCCTCAACCAGAAACAAACCTCCGCGAAGCCCAGAATCCTCAACCGTACACCCCTGAACCCTGACTCCCTAAACACCTATATCCTTGAACCCTATGAGCTGGCCTGCGGAAAATGCCCCTCCTCTCGAAGCTTCCTCGCTGCCTGACGATGGAAGCTGGTGTGCTTCGGGCAGGCTTTAACGCTGTTTCTTCTTTGAAAAAAATGTCCAAAGGGTTTAAGCTTAGGGTCTAGGGCCTAGGGCTTAGCGGGAGGTTTTTAGCGTTTGGGGTTTAGGACTGAGGTTTTGCGGCTTTGGGCGAGTTGTCCTCAACGAACTTCGACACATTGACAAAGGAGAAACGGCCCGACGATCTTAAAATCCCGGATCCGAGCTGACCCAGGAACCCCACCGCCCTTCAACCAAGCGATGGATCGTATGATCGAAGATCGATAATCTGATTGCAGGCACAGTCCGTCGTACGTTTGGGGGTGTAGAGTCTCTGCGCAGCTTGTAACCCTAAGCCAGACGAAGTTAGTGTTTCTTGGGGCGGAGTTTCCGAAAATTGGGGTACCTTATTTGGGGTCCTTCCTAAGGATCCTACTATTTAGGGTACTATATTAGGGTCCCCTAGTTTCGGAAACTCCCATATTCATAGCAAGCGGAAGGCAGAGTTCTACAAAGGAGACCCGACGACACGTTCAGTCGAGAAGTTCGGTAATTGGTGGGTTTGGGGTCTTAGAAGGTGCTACGTTTAGTCTCAGCTCGGCAAGGCATCCCACTGCCTTTGTTCGGGGCAGGGTTTTTGATGCCTCCTGCACAGCAAGGCTCTAAACGTCCAACACGACGAACAAAGAACGGTTGCACTTTGGGGGGCTTGCCTGCATGCTTTGCAAGGCTTATATTGTGGGAGAGCAGCTGCTTACAAGAGGCAGACGTTTCTCCCCAAGTAGCTTCTAACTTCACAGAAACTCCAACATTCCGAAACCTGGATGCACCCCTAAACCGAAAATCGCCGTGCCCAATGAATCGAACAAGATCCTTCACAGCCCCTCCAAAATTTGCTCAATAAGATTACACCATGTGGGAAACGCCAGCTTTATTTTGCAGATAGGGTTGGAGATGTATATGTATATGTATATGTATACGTATATGTCTATGTCTATGTCTATGTCTATGTATAAGCATATGTATATGCATATGTACATGTATATGTATATGTATATGTATACGTATACGTATACGTCTATGTCTATGTCTATGTCTATGTATATGTATATGTATATGTATGCATGTATGTATGCATGAACGTACGTTGCGCATCCATGCTTGCAAGCCTGTGTGTGTGGATACGCGCATGTGTGTATATTACCCTAAAAGCCCTAATCTAAACAGCTCTGAGGCCAGCCGGGATCTCCCCCACCTGCGAATAGCTGTAGTTTGTTCTCAAGTGCGGTCGCCTTGCCCGAGCTTGGAGGATCATGGGACTTAGTAGGTAAGGTTATAAGTACCTTAATTGGGGTTATAAGTAGTTATACGTATAGTTATCCTAATTGTAGCCCTTGTTACTAAGTCCCATGATCCCTTAAGCTTGGGACAAGAGGAAGAGGCTTGGTGAGGCGATGGGGCTGTAATGCTAACCTATATGAAACCCTAAAGCCCCTAAACCCTTATGAAACTTAGGCTTGCCCAAGAACTTCAACAGAAGAAGGCTTCACGCTTTATAGTACTTTAGGCTTTAGGGTAGAACTTCAACGGAAGGAAGCTTCACAGTTTATAGTACTTTGTGGCTTTGGCATCCCAAAAACCGGGGAAGCTTCACCGTCTATACCTGTGGGATCCTGTAGCGTGCTGTGTCAATGTGTCAACTCTAGGTTGCATAGGGTTTGGGGATATTACAGTTGTACCGAATACGGAGCTCCTTCTTTTGAAAATTGAACCGATAGCGATAGTGAATATTGTTAGTATTGTGCTTAGTAAACATTATTGGTATTGTCCGTCTGATTAATGTTGTTGTTGTTGCTGTTGCTGTTGCTGTCGTTGTTGTTGTTGTTGTTGGTTTCAGGCCCCCCCCATGTTGGGTGTCTCAACTCTCGGTTGTCACTTCTGGTTTGCACCGGGGTGTAAGGCCTTCGTGTAGCGGAGACCGATGGTTCAGTCTGTCTAGTGCTTCAGGGTCAAGGGCTATAGGGGTTTAGGGTTTAGGGGCTTAGCGGTTTAGGGGCTTCGGGTTTAGGGTTTAAGGGTTGAGGGTGTCCGGCAGTGCGGGGAAGGAGTCCCTGAACCATACACTCTACACTATATATAAATCTGAGTGAGCCGCTGCACTCTAAACCTGCGTGCCTAAACCCTGGGACCCAGAATAAAACCCCAGACAATTACCCAAGAAACCACACACACACCCTAGACCATAAGTGCCTAAACCACCTAAAGCCAGAAATCCGAACCCCACCCCCTACACCCTCCCTAAACCCCAAACCCCAAACTCTAAACCCAACACCCTCGGTCTCCAAACCCTCTAAGCCGTGTGAGGCCTTCACCTTCGAAATGATTTGAACTTTCAGGCGCTGATTATCCTTTTCAGGAACCATTATAGGAACCCTTATGCGCCTGACTAACTAGAATTACTAGAAGAGGCTTTATTCTACTATAATTGTTCGAGGACTATAAGGGGAAGTGTTTGTGAGTATACATGCATTCCGACGCCTACAATAGAGCAACGAATGTGCTGCAGCTCAGCTCAGATGTAAGTATAAGCCGTTGTGCTACCACTCATTCTTAGGTGCCGAGTTCATAAGCCAAAATAAATTTAAACTTTCAGTTTTAAGAGGGTTTCATTATCCCAAAAAGTTTAAAGTTCATAAACTCAGCTACTAAGCATTGCAAGATATAGCCCGTTGCCATGACAAGGTAGCAAAACCTCGAAGAGCCATAAGACTGCACTGCCCTAAACCCAAAGCCCTAAACTCTCCTGCAAATTAAGCAGATATCATTGCGCAGACTGCTGCATCCACAGCCGAACTGATCGGCAAAACGCAGAGAACTTTTCAACGTGCAAAATTGTGGCTTTAGTAATTAGAATAGGGTTTTGGGCACCACTTTCCTATAACTTTGATAAGGAACCCTCAAAATGAGATAGGTAATTATTAAGGCCCCTATATTAGCCGCGCCCGTTGTCAAAACATCCAACACCCTAAGACCCCACCGAAAAACATGCCCAGCAAGCGGACGCGACGCCCATGCGCTTGACAACTCTTCAAGGTGCTTCAAGAATCTGAAACCGTAACGAACCTGTTGAATGCTGTTGACAGCTACACATTTAAGCGCTGACTGCGGGCTTGATACCTCAGCACAAAAAGACTCAAAAACACAACACCAAACAGCAACAAGTCTGGCCTCAAACGAAGCGAATCAAGAACGTCTTTGGCTCTTGCGCACGAATCCTTCACCTGCAACAGCGATCAATTTCAGAGTCATCTCTCTAAGCTCTGCTGGTCTTGCGGAGGAAGTGCTTGAGAGGTTGGAGATTCCTGCATTTGGGATGTAGAGCTGTAGAGCGTTGATGAGTAGAATGGGGTGCGGGGATAGACTATACGCAAGCTGAGGAATAGTATCACTACGAGTAAATATTGCGACTCCGATACTTACTTATATGCCTGCATGCTTGACCACAAGCTGGCTCGCAGCCTCCGCCAGTTCCAACTACTACTTGGGCTTTTCTTTGCCCCCACAGGTGCTCAAAACCCACAGCCCAAACGAGCCACGTGTCAGCCCCGGGGAGACTGTAGCAACTGATCTTCTGATCCAGACTTTGGGTTTTTTTGGCTTTAAGGCTTTGGGATCACATCTTCCGGAATCGCCTCCACTGCAAAGGTGGCTACAACTGGCGAATCCATGGTCCGCCAGCAGCATAACAAAAACAAATCTTGTAAACCACTGCTGAAGAAGGCCTGCTTGGTGGCGTTTTCGACCGTGGGAACATGACCCCCGAACTTGTCGATCACACCTTGGTGCACGACGGCTTGGATTCATGCTCATTGCTCATTTTGCTTCTCAAAACCTACCTGAACTCCAGCCCTGATAGTGCCGCGGTCGTGGTCATGGTCGCGCTCGCCGTCGCAGCCGCCGTCGTAGCCGAAGCAGTAGCAGTGCAGGAGCAGGAGCAACAGGAGTACCAGAAGCAGCAAGAGGAGCAATAGCAGCAACCAGTAGCGTAGAAGTAGCAGTAGTCGTTGCGGTAGGGCGGGAGTCACGGTCGCGGTAGCCGTAGCGGCAGCGGTTGCAGTGGTAGTAGTTGTCGTCGTCGGTAGTGGTAGTGGTAGTGGTAGTGGTAGTGGTAGTGGTAGTGGTAGTGGTAGTGGTAGTGGTAGTGGTAGTAGTAGTAGTAGTAGTAGTAGTAGTAGTAGTAGTAGTAGTAGTAGTAGTAGTAGTAGTAGTAGTAGTAGTAATAGTAGTGTGTACAAGTGGCAGTAGCAGTAGTAGCAGTAGTAGTAGTAGTAGTAGTAGTAGCAGTCGTAGTAGTAGTAGTAGTAGTAGTAGTAGTAGTAGTAGTAGTAGTAGTAGTAGTAATAGTAGTAGTAGTGGTAGTGGTAGTAGTAGTAGTAGTAGTAGTAGTAGCAGTTGTAGTAGTCTTACCGGAAGCAAAACAAGGAATAGTAGTTGCTGCCGTTCTTGTTGCTGCGGCTGTACTCACTCTGTCTGTCATATGACACTCAGCTACAATGATCAACCAGCGGTGTGATTGCTAGTTTCAAATTTAGCCCAGCCGATGACACTTCCCCACGTGCAGACAGCAGACACAAAAACGTATAGTGGATGATTTCAAGCTGATTCGATGCTGTAAAATTCATTGCCCAGGAGCCGGGAAAATACCCACTCGGTGGCACGACGATCTCCGGATGCTGCAGCAGGGAAAGCAGAACAACGAGGTCTTGGGTGTGTGTAGAACCGTTCGTGCTGAGCACAGAATGTCCAGAGACCGGGCACTAATGTCTCGCAAGACAGCGCAGCTTCCAGAAGCCTCATACGGAGCCTTGCAACAAACAAAACATACACAAGGCCATTCTCGAAAAGGGTACCTTCAAGTGGATTGTGAGGCCGTCCGGCCCTTGCATCACACGATTGACTCCATGCCCCGGCCCCAACGACCAATCGCAGTGAGCTGGATTCTTCCAACAACTGTGCAGTAGCACACTGAGACAGCCTCGCGAGCCACGTTCGGAAACACGTTCCAATCCTTCAACCTGCGGCCCCAATGCCCAAGCTCTGAAGACTTGAAGAGCTAGGCCAGCAAACCGAAACCGCATCTTTCAAAAACGAACGCGAAGGAACTCCTCTAGAACCACACCTGTTAAAACGCTGCGATGTGAGGCATACAGCTTGCCATCGCTGGAAAAGTATATTTATGGCTCTTAAACTTATCAGTGCTGCAGTAAGATTCCGCTGTCTTCCAAAAAGCTTATAGCATCAGCTGCACGCCAGTCTTTCCGAGTTTTCTCCCTACACTGCACACCCTGAACTGACGCCCAGGCCCAAGCCCTTGCTCCCGGTGGCACCTTGTCGGAAAGGCGCCTTGCTATGTCGAACTCGATCTGCGGAGTGGATCGGATTTCACATCGTACATGGTGCTTCACATGGCTCAGGGATGCGAGTGCGGGGGTTTCGGGTTTAGGCATGCCTGACGACCCGACATTTTTTACACGCTATACCACCTGGCTGTTTGCTGTGCCTCGTGCCGTCTATGGTCCCAAATAGTATTTGCTTTCCTAATACTACTACTTCTGCTACCGTTACCCGTGCCACCAATCAGCATACCAGTGGTGGTAGCAGTACTAATATTAGTCGTAGTCGTAGTAGTAGTAGTAGTAGTAGTAGTAGTAGTAGTAGTAGTAGTAGTAGTAGTAGTAGTAGCTGTTGTTGTTGTTGCGGCACAGTAGCAGTAGTAGCAGTAGTAGTACAGTGGCAGTGGCAGTGGCAGTGGCAGTGGCAGTGGCAGGTGGCAGGTGGCAGGTGGCAGGTGGCAGGTGGCAGGTGGCAGGTGGCAGGTGGCAGGTGGCAGGTGGCAGGTGGCAGGTGGCAGGTGGCAGGTGGCAGGTGGCAGGTGGCAGTGGCAGTGGCAGTGGCAGTGGCAGTGGCAGTGGCAGTGGCAGTGGCAAGTGGCAGTGGCAGTGGCAGTGGCAGTGGCAGTGGCAGTGGCAGTGGCAGTGGCAGTGGCAGTGGCAGTGGCAGTGGCAGTGGCAGTGGCAGTGGCAGTGGCAGTGGCAGTAGCAGTAGCAGTAGCAGTAGCAGTAGCAGTAGCAGTAGCAGTAGGCAGCAGCAGTGGCAGCGGCAGCGGCAGCAGGTGCAGCAAGAGGAGCAGTAGGAGTAGGAGTGGACGTGGGCGTGCGGGTCGGAGTGTGAGTGAGAGTGGGTCGGAGTGGGAGTGGGTGGGGGGAGTCGGAGTGGGAGTGGCAGCGGCAGTGGCCGTGGTGGACGAATGATTGATCAGTGATGCATTTAACTCCAAACACGTTTGCAGTCTACAGGCCCGAAACTCGCACAGAAACATGAATCCTACTTCCCTTCCTCTGCAGACTGACCATTTGCGTGTGTGCACTCAAGGAGTCGGGCATTACTAGTGTGGTCTTGGCTGATTTGGGGCCCAACGCCGCCTTCATGCCCGGTGTTGGGGTTCGGACTCTGTCTCCGGACGTGGAGATCCGGACATCCCTGACACGCTACCAAGGTCCACCTCAATCACCACGAGCCTGCTGCCCCAATCCTGACGGTGCCCGAACTCCCTGACCCTATTTCTGACAGCTATAGAGCGTAGAACCTCTAAGACTCCAAAACCCAAAGTCCGCCTCGTGAACACTGGGACAATCTTGTGTCGCTTCTGCTAGCTCCTTGCTGGAGGTACTGTCAGCTTACAGGATTCAGGCTCTGCCAGGTTTACTGTGAAGTGTATTGTCAGGGCTGCTATCGAGACCCGGGACTTCACGTTCGAGGCTCCTGTGCTTGATTGAAAGCTTGCGAACTCGAGGCTGCGCAAGCTTCAGGATTCTGTGTTTGTAGCTCGTAAAGTTGAGAGCCATTGGAAGGGGTCATAATGTGTTCATCAAGGGGAGCTCCGGCAACCTTATGCCGTAAATGCGCACACTATTCCCCAAACGACTTAAGATGGCCAACGCTCTCTTGTAACGAACTTAAGATGTCAGAGGTTTGCGAGTGATGCTTGATCGCTATAATGATTCGAGTAGGTTTGAAAGGTTTCAGAATTTGAATTTGGTACGGTATTTGAGGAGGCACCACATGCAGTCAACACACCTCCAGGTCAATTTTTGAGGAGCAAAGATACAAACCGAGACCTGTGCGCAGAACTATGTTGGGCAGTGTTCGGGCTCCCAACAAAGACAGTGCTACGAATAGGGTTCGTTCATGTCCTCATACAAACAAAATATCTTTAAACTGCATCCCACCAAACCTACAACCTGCGGTCAAACTATCTGGAACATGTTGGGCCAGCCGAGAAGGGGAGCAGCTGAGTCATAGTAATCAAAAATGGCGGGGCCACACGTAATGTTTGGCGTTTATTGTGTGTCACTTGCAAGTTGCAATTTGCGGATCACCAAGAAGAGGGTGCATGGGAAGACATCTGCTGGAGTTTCGGAGGAAGAACCTGCCAACCTCTCGCCGACGTGTAGCCTCTTTCTTCAAATTCACAACTTGGACGGCTTGGGGCCTATTTTGGACTGGGATCATGTGGACTACAGTTTTTTTCGTCATCGCCTGACACGGCGAGGAGCTCACCTAAGGCGCAACATATTAACCCTGCAAACTTTAAAGTACGGGCTCATGCTTAGGCTTAATAAACGTTCGCACTCTGGAGTCTTGGGCTTGGGCTTCCGTTTGGGGCTTCTAGGCTTCCGGGTTGATATTGCGAGAAATAGAAAGGAAACACCAATTTTGCATGATGCATCAACCCTCTACCCTACCTACAGTGTTGTAGACCTTGTAAGAGCTGTTTGTCAGATTTATCGAGTCAAAACGCGTCTTCCCAGAAGAGCCGATGATATTTTGCGAACACTGGTTCTTCAACAACCTTGAGCTACCACAACTTACTCGATCGTAGAGTAGTTAGAACCCTGGCAACTTCCGTAGAGAATCCTCGCAAATCCCTGATGCCCCTACTGCACCAGAAAGCTCGAGGAAATCAACGGCCAATCCTTCAGCAGTCCGGCAGCACAACTTTAGGGTCAGGGCTTTAGTTTCAATGAGTTACACAACTCCACAGTCCGCAGGCTGGGCAGATGAAGCACTACTTCAGTATCAACGTAATATTAGCCGGACTACACGAAGGAGGCCGGAAAGTGGGGCCTGCTCAGTCTCTGGGGACTTCGAACGCTTCGAAGGCAAAAGCGAGCACGGGGTTACGAAAGAAGTACGATTTGCACTCACGGACTTAAGTGGCAAAAGCAGGGTTCGTCAAGCTGAGAGAGGCCACCGTAGTATACTGGGCGTCCCAGCCAAACACCGTAAGCCCGAGACTGTGGCAGCAACCTGATGTTTGTCGAACAAGCCCCTGGCAACTGTTTGTACCAGCTGTATACTGTAATCCGAACGTAAGTACAGCCGATGGAGAAATCTGCATTAAAAAACAACAGAAAATACTGAAGACACGGCATCTTACTCATTATGTAGGTGTATGCGGATCTTGTTCATCTGCCACAGCGTCGTTGAGGGCTTAAGATTTAGGATGTACGGATTTAGGGTGGATGGGCTGAGGCTGCAGGGTCTAAAGGGGCTTAGCGCTCAGGGTGAACGGTTGAAATGCTTCTGCAAAGAGAGACACATGGGGTCAAAATCACAAGAAGCGACTGGATCATTATTGATTAGTCAAGCCGCCGTGTGGGGACATCTGAAGATGAACTGGTCAGAAAAATATCACGGATGAGTCTAGAGGATCTGCGCAGTGGGGTTAAAGGGGTCAGAGAGTTTAGGGGTTCAGAGTTTCAAAGCACTTGCTTGATTCGAACCTAATAGCCTGAACGCACAAGATAGAACCCTAAACCCTAAACCCAAAACCCTACACATGGCTGAGGGTTGTACAGGTAAGGCTCGAATCCACCTCGGAGCAGGTAGCTGGCTGCGATCGTCGTATCCCAAACGCACTCTGTGAAAACCGCTGGGTACCTTTTCACTCGTCCTTGGCAGCAGATCCTAAAACCGCTTGTAGGGGTTGCAGGGTTTAGGGAGCAGTTCCTAAAGCAGCTTGTAGGGGTTACGATACAAGGGTTACCGTGAGGGTCGATTTCTAAGGTTATGCAATGTTGCGTCATCACGGGTTCAACACTGCCAGGGTGGAGGGTTCAGGAGTGTAAGATACTCCCACCATTTTGTTTCACTACTTCGGCTGCAAGCTCTCACAGGCTTCATGAACTCGAATCCCAAATCATAGGGATCCTTAGGGGTGTAGGGGGAGGGGGGGTAGGGGGCCTTAAGGCCCATAATAAGGACTAATAAGGACTAATAAGGCCTATTTAAGGAAATATAGTCCCCTACACCCCTCCCCCCTACACCCCTAAGGATCCCTGTGACCAAACGAAACTCCAAGCCCATGATCCCACCTAACTCGCATAGCTGCCAGAGATCCGAAACCTGAAACTCTAAAGCCTTGTATGCTCAATGCCCTGGGCTCAACGGCTCAAACAAAAACGAGTGGCCAGCTTAGGGTCTAGGATTTTTTTGGGGTTCTTATAATTAAACCCTACAGTAGCCCCGGATTGCCCAATACAGGGATATCAGAATCCTCCCGAGGGGCAGTTCGTCCCGTCACTATAGACTCGAAGTGACGGGGTCTACGGTCTAGGCATGTTTCTCATCCCGAAATGCTTCTGGTACGTTGCAGAGAGCTTAGGGATTTGACTCGAGGTTTCAGGCGTAACATAGAATAAAACAGAATAGCAAGCGGGATCCGGGGCTTAGGAAGCAACACAACTCACTGTAGAGCTATCTGCTGCAGACTTGTAGGTCATGGCGGCCCCTTCACATCAATGGGGAGCTCCGCAGTATAAGATAGCGGTCGAAAGAAGTGGAATATGGGATTTTCCGAAAGTTGGCGACACCTTATTTTGGGGTCCTCATAACAAGGATCCTACTATTTAGCGTACTATATTCGGGTCCCCTATTTTCGGAAACTCCCATATGGTTTTGGGGTCAAGCAGACTAAACTGCTACCTTGGGGGAATCTGCGTGGTTCCGCTAAGGGCTCCTTTATGGGGATCCTTAAAAAAAGAGGGGGTCCTTTTTTTTTGAAAACCGACAGACCCCTTATAGTAAACACCACATCGCGGAGGAGATCTTGAGCCTCTGGGCCAGGACGCGCACGGCAAAAAAGGGTAGTGCTTGAATCCAATGGTAAAAGGAGGGACCCTTAATAAGGACCCCTAGGTATATACCCTGAATATAGCCATTATGTACCCAATATAATAGCCCATTATAGGGTACGGGGGGTCCCTCCTTTTCCCCTTTGCTTGAAGGCTTACCCTAAGGGTCCATGTACCCATATAGTATAGGGTTTGGGGGTTTGGGTTTAGGGTTTCGGGTTTTGTTTAGGGCTTCACCCAAAGGGTCCTAGGTATTTTTATGGGGAAAACTTCCCCAAATCGTAAAGATATAGAAACCCTACACTCTACTATGCAGGTACTTTGGACCCTTTGGGCCATGTAGCATATATTTCTGTTGATGATACAAGTCCTGCATTACCCATGATAAGGAATATACCATAATTGCTATAGTGTAGGGTCCTTACGGTAATGCAGGATTTATATCATCAACCGCTCCGCCCTCAAGTACCTGCTTACTGTAGGGTCTCGAAGGTCGATAGAGTATGGGGAGCGCGGCTCTCGGGTACAGGCGGTACAGGATCTACCTATAGTCTCCATTGTAGTTCCTTTTTTTGGTTTAACCAATTGTATATTACGGATCCTAAAAGGTAACCCCAAAAAAGGAACTACAATGGAGACTATAGGTAGGAAGCTTCGGGAGATGTCGACTTACATGACAGGGCGGTAACCAAACAGTCAAGGTGCTGATGGACCACAGCGACAATCTGTCTCGAAGCAGCTCACCCGCGCGCCTCAGAAAGAGAAACTTGCAAAGCGCCTGGGCCGTAAGCCCGCAAGCTTTGGCTACCACAGTGTGTCTGATGTCCGAGGGCTTCATCCACACAACGGGACCGCCAAATCCCCCGAGCTACCCATAAGCTGGATATTAGTTCAGTCATTTTTGGGATTACCTTGTAGGAATCGAAATATGAGCCCCCAAAAAAGGAACTACTATGGAGCCTCTGGGTACATACCAGGGGCGTCCCGAAACTGAGGGGTCCCCAACTCTGGAGGTGCCAGAGACTTCTTAGACCCCTTTAGATAAGGAACATAGCTGCTGCTAGAGGGGGATCCATATGGGAGTTTCTGGGGGTACCTTATTTGGGGTCCTTATGACAAGATCCTGCTATTTAGGGTACTATATTAGGGTCCCCCATTTTCGGAACGTCCCATATTCAAATGTAAGGTATGCCCGACCCCGAATAACTTACCGTTTCAGGGCTCCTTGTTGCGATTCCTCTCTTACATCCTCAAGAGAAGGTATAGGGTTTTGCAGGTTAAGGTGTTCCTTGATTGGCAACCCTACTTAAAGAATCATGGGACTTAGTAACTATAGGGTTATTATTAGGGCAACTATACTTATGACTGATTCTAACCCCAATTAACGTACTTATAACCTTACTTACTAAGTCCCATGATCCTCCAAGTCAACCCTCAATGCACTAAACCGGCTGGTTGTGAGTCTCCCGGGTCCCCATTGCTCGCTGTTGGCCGACGGGGCGCAGCAAAGCACCACTTGGGAGCATGGCACCGAGCAGCAGCGTGAGTCCGAGTACCTGGAGACTATGAGGACTACGGTTCCGTTTTAGGGGGTTTAGGGTTTAGGGTTTTAGGGTTTAGGGTTTAGGGTTTTAGGGTTTTGTGGTTTAGGGTTTAGGGTTCAGGGTTTTAGGGTTTTGGGGTTTAGGGTTTAGATTGAAGGTACTGGCCCTTGCCTTGCAAACGGGACCAATGAGAAGCTCGAAGCTTTTGTCGCACAGGTCACTGTTAAGCTTCACTAGGGCCTGTTTCGAAGTCTTGCCAGTCATGGCTTCAGCTTTGGCGTTTGCGCAGACATCCGATCCAAATGACTTGAATGGAACCCCCTAAACCCAAAAGTGCTAGACCGAACCTCTCTGATTCCGCCCAAATTGCCATCTGCTAGCCTGCTCTCTGCGAAGTGCGGAAGGCTGTTCGAGAGATTACCCGTAGGCCCCATATTAGTTCCTTTTCAGGGTTGATATGGGGTTCATATTTAGAATTCTATAAGGTATTCCCAGCCATGGGGCCTATGGGTAATTGCTGTGATGCTAGAGGTTTAGGTCATCAGGTTTAGGTTTAGGGTAGGGGCCCACTTCGAACATAGTTTTGGGGTATATTGATACAGTAATTACAATAAGGAACCCCCAAAATTAGGTTGGAAGCATTTAGGCCCCTAAGTTACGGGTGTAGGCTTTCTAGGATTCCGCAAACCATCAGGGAAGTGCAAGGCACTGTGACGAGCGCTATGGAACGCCGGCTGACGCAGGCTCTGCGAGGTCGTGGAGGCCTGGGTTTGGGGCTTTTGGTGTTTAGGGGTTTTGGGTTTAGGGCTTTTGGGGTTCAGGGTCGAGCACTGTCTTCACTTTTGCTGGCAGTGGTGGGCTCAGAACTCATTTTTCATAGAAAGTTGGCAGAAACAGCCCTCCCCCCCACCTCCGCACCCCAAAGTAAAGTCCTGTTCTTGAAGCGCCCAGAATCCAGTGCGAAAGCCTCCAAACCGCAAAACGGTGCAGAAAAGCACACGGTAACTTAGGTACTTCAGAACAGTAAGTGTATGACCTTAGGGTGCTGAGGCGGGTTCAAACACTGCAGACGCGAGGAAGCTTCCTGTGAAAGGTATGTAATGTGCGGAGTTCAGATTGCATGTCACGGGCTATGCTACATTATGATGGTGGTCGTGATGCTGTTGATGCTATTGCTGTTGCTGCTGCCGTTGCCGTTGCCGATGCCATTGCCTTCGCGGTTGCGCTTTGTGAGTGCACTTGGTGTTGTTGCTGATGTTGTTGTTGCTGCTGCTGCTGGTGCTGGTGCTGGCTGGTGCTGGTGCTGGGCTCAGGGCTTGTGCTGGTGCTGGTGCTGCTGTTGCTGTTGTCGTCGTTGTCGCTGTCACAGTCGCTGTCGCGGTCGCTTCTCGCTGTTGCTGTGGTGGTTGTGGTTGGTGGTGGTGACGGTGGTGACAGTGGTGACGGTGGTGACGGTGGTGATGATGGGGATGGCGGGGATGGTGGCCATGGCGGTGATGGCGGTGATGGTGGTGTTGGTGGTGGTGGTGGTGATGGTGGTGGCGGTGACAGCGGCAGTGGTTTGAACCCTGAACCCCTAAACCCTGAAGTCTTAAACCCCGAAACTTTAACTCTGACTCTAACACTTAAACCCACCCGAAACCAGAGACCCGAAACGGTTGAGGACCATCAAGCCAGGAAGCTCATCATCCGAGCTGTGTCCAACAGGCTCAAAGACGCCTGTGCCACAGTGCCACGAGCCCCCACATTCCCCTATACCGCCTGTAAATCGTGAACCCTGAAATCAACACCTCTAAACATCTCCAACCTGCACTTTCAAGCCTGCAACCCACAATCCTGACGCCAACAAGTTGAATCTTCGGCCCATAGCTCACAACCCTGAACAAAAAAAAACCCTCGAAGTCCTCCAACTCACGCTCCGCACGAAATCCTAAAGCCCTGAACTCCCCTGAACCCTCGAACCTACTCTCTACAACTTCGATCCTGCTATCATAACACCTGCGCCATCCCCGAACCTTCCGACCTAAACCCTACTACAATCTAAATCCTAAAACCATAAGCCTCAATCCCGGCACCCTGATCTCTCTAACCTAAACCTCCTGGTCACCCCGAAGCCTTCAAGCTTCTTGGGTTCAGGGCATAGGGTTTAGGGATTATAGGGTTTAGGGTTTATAAGGGGTTTAGGGTTTATACGGTTTAGGGATTTTGCTGTTTAGGGTTTAGGGGTTTAGCTGTTTAGGGTTTAGGGGTTTAGCTGTTTAGGGTTTAGGGGTTTAGGGTTTAGGACTTAGGGATTAAAGGGCTTTCAGGGTTTAGGGGTCTAGGGGTTGAGGGTTTAGGGATTTAGGGTATAGGGTTTAGGGACTATAGGGTTTAGGGTTTAGGGATTTAGGGGTTTAGGGTTTAGGGCTTAGGGTTCAGGGGTTTAGGGTTTAGGGCAGCGCCTGTGCCAGGAACCGCGCTGCTAGCGCTTTCGGGCAGACTCATTCGGGCGATGCGATGGGGCGAATCGACAATACTGGGAGCACCGCTCCTTCAGCCCTTGGCAGCGGCATGACGGAGATTGCATGTAAATCCTGCATTACCCCATCATAAGGAATATACCATATTCCCTCATTCCCGTAGTCTAGGGCCCTTAAGGTAATGCAGGATGACAGGCACACATACTGTCGTACTCACGTTCTGTTCACATGTGCAAAAACATGCATGAAACCTGTGCACGTTGGCGCAATGCCGGGGCTACTGGCCTTTGTCAGTCCATACAATGCTACTCCAGGTGCACGGGGCGGAAGCTCGCAATGATCTTGATGTGCACGTATGACTGCTGGTGGACGAAATCTGGACTTATCATTGACAATAGTGCTACATCTCATGGTTCCCAAACTTCCGTACACTGTGTACCTTATACACAAGATGAGATGATGCAGGAATGCGTCCAATGTCAATTACAGTCAGCCAAAAAAACCTAAGCCCTAAACCAAACTACAAGCTCAACAGCTGACGGCCCGCACGCACACACACACACACACACACACACACAGACACACACACACACACACACACACACACACACACACAGGAACACACGCGCCCACACACACACACGCACACACACACACGCAAACAGACAGGCAGACTTTCCACCTGCAATAACAGGTTCCCGCAGCCCGGAGAAGCTCTTAGGTTGAAGCATGCACTCAAGAGAGGCAAGGGCTACGGCGCATTTCTTTCAAGTATAGAGGCTTCGCGAATTTTGTGCGCTACTGCTGCTTCTGCACGCTTCCATACTACTTGTTTCAATCCTTGCTGCTGCTGTTATGAAGATGCTGGCGAACCAGTACTTCAAATCCTACAGCTTGTTGTCTGCACGGCGCTAACCGCAATCAGGCGGAAGTTCCAAGAGGCCAGCTCTGTTTCGCAAACGTTGGTGGGCCAGAGCTCTCTCTACTTGCCGTAAGAATGGGGTGTTGGGGCCACTATACCATATTTATAAGAAGGAACCCCCCCCCAAAAAAAAAAAAAAAAGTATTGGCAATTATCGAGGCCCCCATATTATGCTGGCATCGTTCGAATTTGCGATCGTCTACATACCTTACACTATCACCTCGAGCGTTCACCGTGGAACTCCGACTCCATAGTACAGTAGTTAAGTGTAATGCAGGAACCTGATTAAGAAACCTTGGGCCCATAACCCCCAAATAATAGGATTCGTAATAAAGGCCCAAGGTTTCTTAATCAGGTTCTTACATTAGCCCACGACCGTTCATGCCCCAAGGTAGCTTACGCTTTCGGTCTTCGCGTGGAAACAAACCCTTGAAGCAAAGGTACCTAAATAGCAGGTTCCTATCAGCACATAGCGTGGCTCTAGTATGTCATTGTGTAAATAGGCAACTGGGTTTCCAGTTTCCAGGGTTTGCTAAAACCTGCACGCCTGAACACAAGTTCAACCCCTGATCCGCCAGCCCCTGCACTCCTGAACCCGGAACCAAAAGCCCCTAAACCCTAAACCCAAAACTCCAAACTCTGATCTCGGCGTCCGGGCGTTTGCGCTTCATGGCGGTGCACTCGAAGCAGGACCTGCTCCAACATGTTGGTGTAGCTTGGGGTTGGCATGGGTTGGCTAAGCTGGAAGCATTTAGGAAGCATTTGCGGCTTGCTTACAACAGAAGCTGTCCCATACCCATTAGACCCTTGGCCACTGCATAGCCTTGTCCTTGAAACCCCAACCGGTACCCTACCTATCGTCTCCATAGTAATGGGTTACCTTGTTGATTCTCCTAAATGTGGGGTCGGTTAAACCAAAGAGGGGAACCAAAATGAAAACTAAAAGTTTCATGGGATCAACCTCGTCTCAGCGCCAGTATCCAGTCTTGGTGACCCCAGCAGTGTTCCGCCTGGTTGCAGAAGGGAAGGGGCTCATGTGGGTAAGCGGTGGGGTAGGAAAGGGCTTGTGGCTTGCAGCGTAATTTGTTCTACCTTCAGGTCAGGACTCGGATACCATTTGTAGCAAGACGTAGATGACCTGCATACTTCTGGTGTGTCCGACCACTGCTTACCTACCAGCATGGTTACACGGACACAACCATGCGTGAAACCGTGAACAAGGGAACATACTTACCACGGCAGCGCAGATCCCAAAACACTGATAGAGGACCACGGCTGAAGACCACGACGACCAAGACCACCACGAACCGGACGACAGGGACCACCACGACCAGCAAGAGACCGGGAGCATCAGAAGACAACTAGGACCAGGAGACTGCGGCAAACAACCAAGAGACCACAAGGACATGGCCAAAATGCTTTCCCCGAATACTCATATGCACCGCTCCACAGTGGGTTATCGTTGGCGTGGTGGGTGAACACTAACCGAGTCGCTGTACTCTGAATCAAGATGGTGTGTGCCACACTGTTTGCGGAATACTACACGGAGATGCGCATTCTTGGGGTCCAAGATGCAGTCCCATACGCACTTACCCATTTGCACACAGCTACATACAGTTGCCAAGGTAGCTTGCAGGTTATCACAGCACAGCTTTGAGCCCGTAGTTCGCCTGCAGACGTGTGCGCAAGTGACACATCGGGTTGTGTCGTTCATGTCACCACTAGTAAAAGGCAATCGTCGAGCTAATAATGCACACAGGCATACATGCACAAGTGAATGCATACGCGCACATACAGCCGAACAGCCATGCACGCATAAACATCAAAGCATAGTTACATGTATATGCAGGTATGTCTGTATGTATTCATGGCTGTCTGTATAGTATATCTTTGCACAGATGCATGTGTACAGCCTGTGTGTATGCATGTATGTATAGGTATGTACCATGCAGTATTCAGCTATACTTGAGGCTTGCTTGCACGTAAGCATGTGTGCGCTGTATGCTGATCTATGTGTAGTGTACTGCCGCTGGCCTCTGCAACCCTCTTCTGACCTCCTCACCTCGGTAACGGGCTGCAAAATTGTGCAGTAAATGTTAAAGTCGTACGTTGTTTGCCCCAAGCTTCTTTGCTGAATATATATATATATATATATATATATTAATGTTCAGGGCCCAGCAGCTTCCGAGTAGCAAGAATCCCTAATCTCAGGGCCCAAGACTCAAGCGCTAGACAAAACACCCACACTGCGCTGGAACATGCTCTGGCAATCCCCAAGGATCCTACGTACGCTAATATAGTAGAACGTAGTGATTCTTTAGAGGGAATTACTATGGTGATCCATTTGGGTTTGGGGAAGTATAAGTATCCCCCGTAACAGTACCTAGGACCAGTTGGGTTTTCAATGGGCAAGTTGAAGACCCGTCTCTCCTCCGACCCCATGTAGATTTGCCGCAAGATGCCGCAAGTCTGGTAACTTACGACCCCGAAAGTATGGTGCAGTGTCGCTTGAGGACTCAGGGAGAACAAACATCCAACTAAGCTTTGGGATGTTGCGTATGGGTTGGGATGTCTTGGTTTTTGGGCGACAGCCTGCTGGGGTGTGAGGCAGAGAATCCAGAGTCTTTAGAGTGTAGGGTTTCGGGGATCTGGCGTCTGTAGGTTCAGAGTTTAGCGTGTATGCCAGGATTCAACTATTGAGGCAGAAAGCGGGTCTACCAATTGAACACTTCATTCCAAGATAGTCAAGCTTCTCACCGTATTGAATTCTGGGCCCTGAACCTTAAACCCTGAAGCCTTAACCCCTAATAAGAGCACAGGGATGGCGAAGCTAGAACCACAGCAAGCTCGGCCCCGGCAGCTTGATGTCCTTTTCGAATGCAAGATTGCTAATTGCTCTTTATGGTTTTGGTAACTTGGGCTTGGGCTTTGTGCTCTAGGGGTGCTTCCGCTATCTTCTTCTCGTGAAGCTTTTACGTTTCTGTTCAATGGGGGAGGGTGCGTGCAACAGTGCGTCGATCGCATCTGCCGGATCTGGACACGAGGCCATCAACCAACATAATCTTCAGCCCCTGCAGAAACACATCTTTTGTTCCAATTCGCACCTCAGTCACTGAAGAGCAGGGTGCAGGAGAGCGGAAGTGGGACGTTGGGGGTGTACAGGTTTGCGAGGCTTAAACCAGGGTCTAAACTCTAACTCTGAACCCTACAGGCCCTTTTGGCAAAGTACGTTTGCGGCTTCTGATTTCTTTTTGCCCATCCAGGGCCTGCATCCCACACGCTGCGCTACTGCATCCGGAGTCCGACAAAGATTATGAACAAATCTTTGTTGGCTT